ATTTCATTAAGTTCCGCTGTAGCAGAAAAGTGCAGCAAGTAAATATGCTCTGGCAATGTCACAATGTTTGTTCGCCAACGGGTTCATTAACGGTGCCACAAAATTAAAAAAAAAAAATAATAACGATAACAATAGCAACAGTAACAAACTGGGAAACCACCGCTTTAGTACAAGTTCTACATTTTACAGTTTCTATTTCTCTGTCTCTGTCGTAGATTACCAAGCGAAGACGCTAGTAACGCATACAAATGAGCGGCACGGATACAAACGGACCGACGGACGGAAGGATGAACGAATGAGGAACAGCAGCAACACCAACAGCCGAGCCGGTCACGTAAACCGCTAACCCACCAACAACAACAACAACAAGAAACACATAAACAAACGTACGAATGAGCGAGCGAGTGCTTGAAAATAAACGAAAGAAGGAGCGAACGAACGAGAATACCCGACCATTCCGAACAACTCCTGCCGCCTAATTAACGCATGCGAACGCGGACACCTCGTCGTCGTCGCCGTCGCGCTGCAAAATTAATAGAGCTTCCAAATGTAATGCTATCCGCTGCTCTGCTCTGCTCTGCTCCGCTTTACTCAGCAATCAAATGGAATTTTTCACTCTATTTGGTGTAAGGAGCAGTGTCAGCCAAAAGGGCTGAAGGGCAGCAGCGATGGTAGCAGTTGGAAAATTAATTTCTCTTGTTGAAATTTCGCACGTGTTTCTGTGGAAATACTTTTGACTCTCTGTCTACCTGTCTGTCAGTCAGTGAGTTAGTTTTTGAATTTGCAATTGCAGAGCCACAGCTTATATGCGTTCAATTATATAATTTTCGTGTACATGTAAATAGTCATTATAATTGTATAATTTTCGACATTAATATTTGAATACGAGTACTATATACATATAATGTGTGAGGAGGAGAGTCTTAGCGAAACAACTTCTAGATTTTTCAAATACCATAAATATACACATACATACTTACATATAAAACAAGAGCGTAAAAAACTTTCATAAAACGAGATAAACAAAATATTTATTATTAACAAATTAGTATTTTGTGCGTATAAAGGCATTAGCAAAACAAAATATATAAATAAAAAACCCAAAAAAAAAAAACCAACACTATTAATTAGTAATTATTATAATGTGATGTTATATATATATGAATGAAAACGATATATATATATAAATAAATAGTGAACAAGTAAAACAAATTAAAAGCAGAGAAATTGTTAACCAACAAAACAAAAAAATCATAAAATGGCATTATTAAGTAGATTTTTGAATTAAACTTAACGTAAATTATAAAAAATGAAAACAAAACAAAAAACATCTTTGCTGTTTATATAAAATTCAACAACTTTTTTCTACTCAACAATCTAAACAAAATAAAATTTGTAAAATTATTTTTAGCTTACTATTTTAAATGTAAATGTTGTTGTGAGCAGAAAGAATGATTCAAAAAACAAAACAAAAAACGGAAATGTAGCAGTTTTTGAATGTTAACTTGTTTTTTCCCAATTCGTGATCATTATTGATTTAGTTGTGTGTGCTAAACGTGATACTCTTCCTCTTCTTATTCATCTATAAACATTATTCTTCTACTTAAAGAAACGGCTTGAATTCTTTTTAAATGGCAAAGTTGCAAAATCGGCACACAACAAAGCAGCCAGCTAGCAAGCAAAGCAACAAGGGCCTTAGCAATTAAACGTCAAGTACATTTATAAATAAATCCAACTATATAAGCTACTATATACGAGTACATTATACACACCCATACACATACATAAATACATATAGTATATGTATTATATATACACGTACATATGTATAGCCTTGTTGTTGTTCATATAAGAATACCCGTGTTCGCTCTAGCCTGCAATGTTGCTTAGCCAGCCATTTGTAAAATAAATTTGAAGCTATCGCTAAAATTCAATTCAAAGGCAAGCGAATTAAATGTAAACTTTTATGGTAAATCAATGTGTTCGTAAAAAAAAAAAGAAAAAAAAGGAAGGATAACTAAATTAATGGGAAAAATGTTTCTTAATTGTAAAAGTACACGCTGTTTTACGTCCTAAACTCCGTATTTGTTCGACATGTCTAAAGTTTTTGTAAAATAAATCATTATACTTGCCTATTTCCCCATAATAATAATGATAATATGAAATATTTAATTGTAATCCTTAAAGAAAAACCAACAAATTTGAGTTTGGCTACGTAAATCGCATTTCTTCCATTGCTCTCAAAACGAAGATGAAGACAACATTATGGTAATAAAAATACCAACAAAGTTCCGCTCAACATTTTCCTACCCTAATATAGGGTGTCCTTTCTGAAGTCTGCATTTTAAAATCCGTTGGATATGGCTTATATAAATCAGTATATTTTTGTCCAATCTTTGCAGCCTCTTTGAAATGAAAGCATCTAGAAAACACCCCATACTTGATTTAAATATTTTTGCTTGCATTATTTAAGGAACTGTGCTTAGCTCTTGTTATTTATGTATATAAATATTTTCTGTACTTTAAGTTTTGATTTTGCAATAAAAAACAAATATATATTTTTGCTATAATTTTTGTTTCTTTTCAAAATATATTTATTTTCCGTTTCAAGCCTAATCCAGTAGTCTTTGTCAAAAATGAGCTAAAGTTAAGCCCAATGTTCTGCTACATTTAAGCCATTTATATAAACATTAGCCAATAAATAGGCCGAATAAGAAATTTACGAAAGAAATGCGTGATAATTGTGTGTCGCTCTGAATTAAGTTAACGCAATATATAGCAGATGTGCTGTGGATGGCTAGCCATTATATTAAGTCATCTCTTTGCACTCAATGGTCCTTACAGAGCGTGCTTCGAAATATACTTTTCACAGTTCATAGCCATCATCGATGGCTAATTTTTTGCGTGACTATAAATTTTTAAATCACTCCTCTCTATTACACTCTTAAGTGTATAAAGTGTGGCTTTTGATGACTAATTTATCTTGGTAATTCAATTTTCTTTAGCTATTTTGGGCTGACGACTACGCTAGGCTTTAGGGGCAGCAATAAATTGTAAAAATATTTAACTCTACATATAGAAACAAATGATGCATAAACTTTACAAACAGCAACATGGAAATAATGCTAAAATTAAGCGCAAGAGTTCAATTAATAAAAATTAGATTTTTAATAGTAACATAATTTGGAATTTTATATACATGCATAAATAAATATAATTGAATAACAGCGATAACAAAAAAACTAAAGATTAGAAAACACTAGCATAACGTGAAAATATGCTAAAAACATAATTTGTTTCAAACAATTAGATTTGAATGAAATTCAAATGGATAAGGAATGCCAATCTGAGCCCACACTTGTATGCCTAAATGAAAAACAGCTTATAAGTTGAGCATGAAGTGAAGTTGGGGAATTTTAGACAAAGCCGCTTCCACGTACCACTCATTTACTTGGCTCAACTCGTAAACCGTTTTTATACAACACTGTAAAGAAATGTAACGCAATATGGCGAGCATTCTGATGATGTGCACACTGATCGTATGGATGTTAAAGCAGTTATAGCAACAACAACAATAATTCCAGGCATATCAAAGCATTTCTCAACACTAGCAACTCAAAGCAAAGCAAATCAGTGCCGTCTCAGACAGCAAGCTGAATGGCACAAAACGACGGCAATAACAAACCAGTTAGAAGCACTTAAAACATAATTAATTTGTTGGGATCACATGCTACACACGATGACGAAACGAAATGAAACGAGCAGAAGAAATATCGGCGATAGCCCTGAAAACACAACAACAAGCACACAATAAATGGAAATAACGTTAATGTTGATGGGATTCACATATGTATATTCAAAAAGCAATAATTAAAATATATATTTCCAGTATAAACATAAATTAACAACTAAACAGAAAACCAGAAAAACAAAATATTGATATACAAATTTATATACATATATATATTTTAATTATAGTTACAAATTAGCATATGTACACAAACAAAAGTATATATATTTAGTCAAATGAAATTAGTAAACAAAAAACAAAAATAAAAAAAAAACATGCAACTTTAATATTTACAAAATATTAAAATATCAATGTGCAATTTAAAAGCGTTAAAAACAAACAAAAACAAAATAAAAGCTACACACACTTATACATATAACAAACCTATATATATATATACATACATATATAAAGCCCATTTATAAACTATTTCGTGAAACCAAAAACTTAATGTCGAAAACACAAAAATTTGCGGCAACGGCCGCACTCAAATTTTAGTTTGTGTGCACATGAAATGAAAAAAAAAATGTAAGCAAAACTAAACCCGAAGTGAAAAAAGAAGCGTATAACATTAAATCAAAATTTAAATAATAAAAACAAAGTAATTTAAAAGTATATATACATATTATAATAATGATAAAAACAACAAAAGTGTAATGAAAAATGGTTTAAGTCAAGTTTTTGAGCAAATACTCATAATTGTTAAAAATGTTTAAATAAAACAAATAATACAAAATAAAACTCTATGGAAGCCGTGTAAAACTGCATATTACATTATATTTTTTCTCTCTTTAGAAAATTTAGTTAATTATTGAAAATAACAAAACAAAAAACAAATGAAAAACAAAACATTACAATTAAGTGTTAGTCTTATATATAAATATATATATATATTAAAAAATGAATAAAATGCAGCAGAAAATCATGGCATCTAAACAGCAAAGAGGAAAACCAATCTAAACAAAAGGAAAATTAAATTAAGCAAATAGTTTTCGCCTTTGTGTTAAATCAATTTTTTTACTTTTAAATTGGTCGGACATGAAATGATTTACTTATATTGAATTGAAAAATAAAAATTATTAAACAAAAAAAAACAACTGTATTCTTCATTATGGTTTCCAGGCATCACATCTACAAGACACATATATTCTATAATTATATATAAATCACCTAATATTATCCTTACCCATCATTGCATGGATTTATACAGGAGGACAGCTTATCAGTATGGAACCGAACTGCCACTGATATGACCAGTACAACACGTATCCGTGATACGTTACGCAGGATATTAAATATACCTCTAACAACGGCAATGGAGTATAAGATACACTGTGATAGCCTTAAATATGTTTCAATGTAAGTAGCGAAAAACTCATTTGACTTGATTTTCTAGCGACAAAAATATAACAGAATTGCAAATCTCTAGCACAATCACTTGGCATATTCACATCACATCGATAAACATTAACAGCTAATATTAGGTATCGTTATAAAAAAAATTAGTTTGCTGACAGCATTGCCATTGCAGGAGGATCGATTTGATAAAGTTTAAAGCTGGCAATGCCTTAACAAAATACATCGGCAATTAGAGAAACAGCTTTACAAAAAGAATACGAATTATTGAAGAGTAGACGAAAAATGAGTCAATTAAGCAAAAAATTAAATAATGCACGATGCATTTAAAAATTAAAGAATTAAATAATTCACGATGCATTTAAAAAATAACTTATGCATATGATCAATGAAAAAACTTCAACAAATCCAACTCAGATCCATTTTAAGGCGAAATAATGAGTCATAATAATGAACGTGTGGTCGACATTCGAAAACGAATGGGCGCACATTCACTCTTTCTCTCTTACTTTCGTTGAAGGAAAATATGCCATTATTTTCCACAGCAATAGAGCATTAGTTTTGGCATTCCCAATCGATTTGATGTGATGTGAATATCCTAGTTAATACTCATTTATTGCTTAATGAAAAGGAACTTATTTGTTCATTGAAAATGTATAACCTACCTTCCACAACAGGATCAAGCGTAGATTTATTTATCGAAAACCGAATAGATCCACAAATCAGTATAAATCGCTTGCATTGAGAGCATAAAAATGTTGCCTGCAGCCTGGGCTGCGTGTTAATATAATGGATAAAATAATGGAAGATATTAAATTGTGATCATCGTGTTTTGAAATTGCAAATATGCGTATATTTTAAGCATAAACAATAAAAATATATAAATACCTTTTTTTTTTAATTTTTATTTACATATACACACATATTTAATCTTGCCTTTGTATTCTTTCTTCTCCTTTTATCTTGCAGTAGTAAAGGCCCATTGAAAAGCTGAAATTCAGTGAATGACTATAAACAAAAAACAAAAACAATAATTTCACAAACAGATGATATAAGTCACTAGCAAAAATCCTCAGTAACTACAACTAAAACAGCAACAAACACAACACACCAACTTCATTTACATACAACAGCAGCAACAATCACAGCCACAAACAACTATAGATGTAAAGCGTAGAATACGACAACAAATAATTGTTGTTGATGAGCAGCACAACCAGCCAACAAACACAACGACAAAGAAGCCGCTGATAATTCTTTATTTGTTAAACACTTTTTTCTTACTGCTTAGAGTTATGCACTAATTCGAAATTGAATTATTAAAAACTTATCAACTACTACAATATTTCAACAGTCAACCCAAACACAAATTAGCAAAGAAAAAAACATTTTCGCAAAATGTGTGTGTACTTATGAATGAAACGCCATAAATAGGTGTATTTTAGTTGTTATGCATTAAGCTTCATACCATTAGCCATTCCCAATTAAGAAATAAAAGTGTTTAAACCAATTCGAAATTTACAAATTCTAAGTTCCAAACTGTGCTCTCGACTAAAATGCAACTAACAAAATAATTAACTATAATTTTTGACATTTGTATTTATAGTCTCAGCGTATTTATTAGCTACACATACATACAACCTCACGAAATCCCTCATTAACAACCACATGAATAGAAGGAAGCAGCAGGAGCAGAGCTAACTAGTTGATAATATATTGATCTGTTTGATATGATTATTTTAAATACCTAATTATTTAAGATAAAAGGGAGATAATAATCAAATTGTTTGTTTTTGTTTTTGGAAGAAATACAGTTTTGTACGTGAAGAAAATAAGAAAAAAAGAGAAAACAAAATGAAACTTAAAAGCCGTTGTTTTACATATTTTCCCCATACAGACAAACTCATACATACGTATATACATTCACCCCACCTACTTCCAGTACAGATCATAAACATGGAACCCCCCAGCGTTGAAAAGGATACTATTAAAGTTGCAGAAATTATTTTAAATACACTTACATAATAAGTTGTTGTTTTATTTAATGGAAAATGCGCTGCATACAGCAGCATAAATATAATTGTATGTAACTGGTAAATTAATTGAAATAAGAAATGTGAGCTCATTGCTTATTTGTCCTCAAAGCCTGTTAAATCAAACAGATAGACATTGGAGATAAGACATTCACCCTCCTGCAAATAAAAAGACAAGCCAATTAATAACATATGCCCAAGGAGAATAAATCGTATTGGAACTTACAGCCGGCGTAATGCCCACTAGAGCATCAGCATGTCCATAGAACTCTTCCTTTAGCGATATGACAATGGTTTGTAAATTTGTGGTATGATCACGTATATAAGAGGCGACTTTTCCAATATTCGTATTATCCAGAGCAGCATCTATCTCGTCGAGCACAAAAAATGGCGCCGGTTGATAGCTGCAAGACAATAAATAAGTTGCATTGTTAATTATCTTTAAATAGTTTACATTGCTTAAGAGTAGAGCTTTTTACCTGTGCGTAGAGAATAGCAGGGCTAGAGCTGCAATGGTTTTTTCACCACCACTTAAATTGCTCATGGGCTGAAAACGCTTTCCAGGTGCCACGCAATTATAATTGATGCCATCTAAATAGGGCTCCTCGGGATTATCTGGACCTATGTAGGCCTGTGCAGCCTCATTGCGTGCCAGCTTTTTATAGATGCCATCAATGGCGTCCGAGATATGCTGACAACACTGTACGAAACGTGAGGAGCGCTCATTTTTAACCTTCTCAAATGCTGCCTTGGCCTTTTTGGCCTTGCGACGAGCATTCTCAAATTCCTCGTTTGTTGATTGCACCTTTTCCGTGACACGATCCAGTTTCTGCATGGCCTTCATATTCGGCGTTTGTATGCGCTCCAGAACATCTAATTTGTTTTGCAACTCCTTTTGTAATTGCTCATTAGTTTTCTTAAAAGCGGAATCATCTTTAAGCTTGCACAGCTCACGTGGTAATGTACTATAATCCACTTCAATGCTATTGTATTGGGAAGGAGTAAATGATAGAGTTTTATCAAATCTATCATGGCAATACTTACAGATGGTCTGTTGCTATGGAAATTGAAGCACCATTGTTGTCGGTTTCGTTTTGACGCACTGCATCGTCCAGCGATCCCTTAAGCAATGGCACTGCAATGCAGTCGGTCTGAAAGTAATTACAAAATGTATAAATGGCGTATTCATTTCATTGCTAACTGATTTAAAATCTTACAACATAAACAAATTGCTTGACAACGAAAATTCAATAATTACATCAAACTAAGAATAATGAAAATATTTTATGCTCACCTTGGCCTGAAGCAAAATGTTCTGTCGTTCGTTTTTCTTCGCCTCTATTTTTGATTCAATGGACGACATGTGACTGCTGACATTGTGTATTTCCTTGGCCAAGTTAGCAACGTCGCGACGTGCTTTGGAAATGTCCTCTTCCATGTCATCAACTGCTTGCTTCTTCGCCTGCTTTTCTTGCTTAAATTTTTCCATTTTCTCTTTATCCTCGTCGATTTCCTTAAGGTAACGTGCCTCTGCTGTTTTTAAACCCTCTAGCGCATCTTCCTCATCTTGCACGTTGCGCTCCCAACGCTCAACGTTTTCTGTCAATCAAACAAAACTCATTATATTTACTGTCTGCAGCAAAATTCTTAAATTCCCACTAACTTCGCGTATCCTTCTGCTTCTCAAAGTCTAATTGTGAGTTGATTGCATCGATTTGTTGTTCAAATTCGGCACGTTTGCGGGCACGCTCCTGTTGCATAACCAGCTCGCGTTCCTCATACTGACGAATGTTCTTGACACCCAGACGACGACAGAATGCAGCAAACACTTTATCCTCGACATTGTTCATGTTCTCTTTGATATCCTGGATTTTCTCTTCACGCTCTTGCATACGACTCTCAATTTTTGCGATTTGGGGCTAAATTGGCATAAAAAATTTATAAATAACAAACTGAGACAACTTGAACAGAACCAATTACCCCAAAAACATCCAATTTGTTTTGTACTTCATTCAGTTGGTTTTCATACTGGGCAATCGATTTTTTTGAGGACTCCAAATCAACCATACTGTATTTCAGGCGATTTTCCAAGCCCTGTATCTGAGACTCCACCGTGGCCAACTCGCTCTGTTTGCGTGACTTTTTGACCAACTCCTTTAGCTCCTCGTTAAGGCGTTCCTTTTGCATTTTAAGCTGTGCCATGTGCTTCTCGTCCCAACGTTTCGCTTTCCGGGCCAAATCATGACTACCGCCAGAGATAAGACCAGACTTCTGATAGAATGTTCCATCCAGGGCCAAGGCATCAAAGCGCGAGCGATCTATTTCATAGGCGACCTTCATGGCATCCTCAGGCGTTTCACACACCAATGCATTGCCAGTGGCGAAAAGAACGGCGCGCTCAATCTCGGCCGGCTCGAATTTAAGCACATCAAATACCAGCCTAACATTCCGGGGTTCGTTGATATTACGCAGGCGTTCCTTAAGTGGCTTTACTTGTAAATAGTCCAGTGGCAAAAAAGTTTCCACTTCCAGCATTTGTTCCTTTAGAATCTACAGAAAATATAGCACCGCCTTTAAAAAATTGATCATATTTATTTGAAATATGTGACTACCGACCTGAATGCAGTGGCGCGCAGTTTTTTCTGTGTCTACTATAATAGCCTCCATGAATTTACCCAAAACTTTGGTGACGGCCACATTGTAACGTTTGTGTGTGGGTTGACACATGTTGATCATGCGATCGTAGACTCCCGGTACTTGTTTCTTAAACAATTCAACCACTTCCTGTTTTTTCTTGCGGCGTGCGTCCTCGTGCTTGTCGCTCTTCGCATCGCCCAATTGATCGCGAACATTTTCCAGCTCACGTTGCTTCTCAGCAATTTTCTCTTTTGAGCTGCCGACATCACGCCGCAGCTCGTCTTTAATGCGGTTTTGTTCCTCCAGTGCCGCTTCGGAGGACTTAATGTGATCCATTAGTTTGTCACGACGTTTAACAGCCTCCTCACGCTGAAGCGTCAATTTCTTAAACGATTCTTCAACAGATGCTCGGCGATTTGTTTCACCGTCAAGCAAATCCTGGTCTGACTTTTGTTCCCGATTAACCGAGTCTAGTTGAGAGCGAATCTTTGTGGCTGTTGCTTCTGCATTCTGCTTGAGGCGATCATATTCCTGCACCAAACCCTCCTCCATGTTGACACTCTTGCCTCGTTTCTGCGACTCATTTTCGAGCTCATCTTCAAAGCGCTTTTTCAAAACCTCCACATCGTTCAGTTGTTTCTCCAGCTTTCGTATGTCTAGCTGATGCGCATTATCAGCTTCCCGAGCCGTTTCCAATGTCTTGTGCAATGAAGTCAACTTCTTCTGACAATGTGTTACCTTTTCCTTGGCCTTTATGTACAAGGGTCGCCTCTTGTTCATTTGCGTCTCAAATTCACGTATTTCTTGATCGATTTTCGCCATGTCGCGTGTAATTTTGCCAGCGTCTTTTTTCTTTTCACGCAGCACTTCATCTGCTTGCTCCTTACGCTGCTCGACCGCTTTTACCTCTTGCTGCTTTATCTCCAAGTCACCATTGAGTTTGTGTATATCCTTCTCAACATGAAAGAGTCGGAACAGTTGATACTCAACTTGTTTCTCATTCTGTAATGGATGCATTCGTTTAATATTGAATATCTTTGTGTATATATATGATACGTACATATTCGTTCTGCAGACGTGTATAACGCTCTGCTTCCATTTTTTCATGTTTGGCCTCCTTGCGTTCAGCAGCGATGCCTTTTTTCTTTTGATAAGTGAATTGTGTCTCTTCCTCAGCAACAATCATTTCTTGTTTTAGTCGGTTATAGTCGTCCTTTAAGAGGCCAGATCTAGAGGGGATACGAAAACCTGATAATGCACAACATATGAAGATGAAACACAATGTACTTACCCGCTGATTTCCTCGAACAGAGCAGTCCGCTCTTTGGGAGTTTTCATAGCAATATTCTCCACAGCCCCTTGAAAGACAAGGAAATTTTTCGCTTTTACATTAATTCCCATTTTCTCTAACTTGTTGAGATAAGTGTTACTCGAAACGCTCTGTAAACGAATAAGTAATTATAGAAACACTTTCAATATACTCATATGTAATACGTACCTCGCCATTTATACGATATTCGGAAGATCCGCTTATAACAGCGCGTTGAAAATCCATGTGTTTCTCTCCATTCAGGATGAATTTAGCGGTTACGTAGCAGCTGCGCGACACAGGCTTGCCAATGGACGACCCATGTATGAGATCGTTTAGACGTTTCACACGCAAACTTGACGTCTTTTCCCCCATAACGAAACTTATGGCGTCCATGAAATTTGACTTGCCTGATCCATTGGGGCCAATAACGGCTGTAAATTGCTTGAGAGGTCCAACAACTATGTGGCCACGATACGATTTAAAGTTTTCCATTTCTATGAATTCGAGAAACGCCGTTTCCTCCTCCGGCTTGCGCACAACAGGCGCCGTAACTCTTGTTGGAACATCCTCCTCCTCTTCAGCCATCTTTATTCAATCAATTTAACTAAAACAAACTATTTGTTGTTAAGTTCGTCCTTTTTTCACAAAAAGACGCGCAAATAGTGATGGTAAGCCAAAAGAACTGCCTGCTAGAGGTGGCAATAGATGTATATCTGTGATTTTGCCACGAGTACTACAACGTAAAAAACAACTATTTGAATAAAATATTGTACATACATAATAAATACAAAATAAATAATTTTTATTATTTTTTTTTATAAGATACACCATTCAAAATCAGAAAAGTAATAAGACCATCAATTTCTCTTAGCGTTGCCACTTATTCCATGTTTGAAGAAAATGTAAGTAGTCACAATAATCGAAGTAAATTTGTTTGCCGTTTGTAATTTTTTGAAAATAGTGCTTTTAAAAAAATCGAAATTTCGGTTACTTTTAGAAATATCATACTTGTAAAGAAAAATTTGTGGAACGACTAAAATATCAGTTAGCAAACGGAGCTGTCAACTCGCAAAATAAAAATGGCAGCAGCTTTTCTTCGTAAAATAAAACCGCAATTTCAATGTCGTTCACTAATCCCATTGAGCAAATCAAATTTGAACGTGGCAGTTAATCGCAAACCAATAGAACATGTTGCAATAAGTGTTCCTTTGTGGGAGCCTCGCAGGTTTTGCTCAAAGTGCAATGAAATTGGTATAGTAGACTACGAAATTGTTAAAGAAATCGCGAAAGAGCCGGAGAAGCTGCTTATTGATGTGAGACGAGTAAAAGAAATAGAGGAGACTGGACTAATACCTGGAAGCATCAACATCCCACAAGACTGTTTGGCCGATGCACTAGGACCTAAAACAGATAAAGATAAGTTTTGTTCCATATTTGGTCGATCAAAGCCAACAAGTTGCACAGAAATAATTTTTACCTGTCGCTCAGGTAAACGTGCACGAGAATCGGCCTTAGACGCCCTACAAATGGGCTACAAAAACGTTAAAGTCTACGAAGGGTCCTGGTTGGATTGGCATGAACATCAGAAATGAACTTCCCGGAACTATACAACTTAAAAAATCTCTTGCATAATTAAATTAATTGAATTATAATTAGCATAGACCAATTAACACAAAAAAAACGTTTGAATTCAGAGAAACGACTACAAAAGATTTATTTATTTAATATTATTAAGAGTATTTGTGTCATTTTTCATGAGAATGTTATATGTATTACTTTATTTGGATAAACCTTCCCTTTCGGCCCAGTCCACCCAAGAGCCTTTGTAGTTCTTGACATTCTTAAAACCTAATGTGGCTGCAGCTTCTGCGGCCTTCTGACTGCGCATGCCCATCTTGCAATGGAATATGATCTCGGTCTCAAGGCTCGGCTTCTCACGTCCGTACTTTGACTTGAAAAGTTTGGCGTTTTCCACCAGTTCTTGACCAACAATGCCCAAGGGTATATTAATGCTGGATGGGATTTGTCCTGTTTCCTTGAGTTCATCGGGTTCGCGTACATCAATTAGCAATTTTTGTGGCTCATTGGCAAGCTTTTTCACTTCAGCATAATCCACTATGCCTATTTGACTGCCACTGCTGTAATAACGCTGACACCCAGATGAAATGTTTACAAGTTCCAACTGACGCCTGCAAGAGACTGGAGCACCTGTTAAATTTCGCACTCCGGTGCGGTGTACACGGCAACAGTTGGTAGATATTGCTCTTAATACATTTACACCACGTCTTAAAAACATTTTTTGTTTTTGTTAGCTCAATAAAATAAATATTACATAAAATGTTCAGCTCTTAAGAATAAAGTCAAAATAGTCAAAAGCCACAGCTGTTTACAATAGAGCTGCCAGATGCTTTAATTTATTTGTCCGGTACCAGCAGCGCGCGCATCCATTTTTAAAGTACTTAATACATATAATGTTTATTCAAAGGATAAGAATTATTTCGTATGAAACATACAAGTTTTACAAAAATACTTTGTATTAAAACTCTTCACGAATGGGAAACTATTTTATATTTTCCTCTTTAAAAGATTAAAGTTCAACAATATTAATAATAGTTGCTTTTATTTCAGGTCCTTTATCATATCTTTTCCTTTTATTGACGGCATTTTAAATAAGTATTTATAAATTATTTGGTTTGGTGTTACAACATGCAACATACATGCATATATGTAAAACGAAAATAGTGTTTTATCCGTTCCATTTTCAAGCTTCGACTTTGTGGAGCAATTTTTCCGTTTGGGTCGATAGCCGGGGAAAAATCTAGATATGTATGTATGTATTTGAATGAAGTTTTACAATATATATAGAAACGATTCAATCGTTGCGACAAAAACAAATGTAAAATAAATAAATATAAATTATAATTTTGAAAGTAAGGCTGTGTAATCTTTCCACTTTCGGACCAATTCAAAATTGGTCGTTGTGTTAAGCATTAAAATGCTCTCGCTCTCCTGTAATTTTTGTGAAAGATATAGACAGTTCTGTGAGATTTTATTAAACCCAATTTGAAGAAGCGTATTATACTGATAACACTGTTCCAGAACAAATAAAATTTAAATGTGGATCGTTGATAAGGATTTCGCCTCAGATACATACAAACATACATGTGGGAGAAAATATGTTTGCGATAGCTCTCAAGTACTTTTTATACACCCACTACGTAAAACTGTTTCCAGGCACTATGTAATCACTCTTTGGCAACGTGTAGTCTATGTCAAGGCTCAAGTGCACATCGTACGATAAGGTCCACAGAACGCTCTCACGCCGCTGCCGATCGAGATGATGCTGTCACTGCTGCTAATTGAATCAATTAAGTATTTAATAGGAAAGTGAACCCGGATTTTCAATAACGGACGAGCTTGTTCATATAAATGGCTACACATAAGCACATATGTACAAGTATACACCTCCCAACACTTTCCATTCCAGACAACTGGCTTATCATAAAAGTGTCAGCGTTGGCGTTCTGTGAGTTTGCTGATAAGTGACGTAGTTAATTGAATCGTTATATGAATAAGCACAGCAGCAACACATATGTATGTACATATGTATTCGTATATTATATGAATTAATATATAGTATGTATATACATATGTACATATATGCATATAAAAGTGGCTTCAGAGTTGTGGTTAACGAACCCAATGATATTTATAAACAATCATTCAATTTAAGAATAGTCATACGATGCCAGGTTTATTAGGCCAGTGAAAGCATTATACATATATGTATATGTATATTTTAGTAGCCCCAAGTATGTGCGGGTGTGATTTATATACTATATGTCCTAAATGAGCAATTTTCAGGAAATAATTTTCACTCAAGGCTTACAATTTCTGTTCTGTCTTATCAGTAATGGTCGTTTTTTACACATAATGTGAATCGGGTTGATAATGTCCCCTACGTAGTACCCATATATATGGAAATGTGAGTGTAAATAAGATCAATCGCAGGTCGTAATTAGACGGCGCGTGGTTGGCCTGAACCGGATTTGGTCGGATAACGTATACAAATGTAAGTACATATAGTATGTGTATTTATGTCTAGATTGAAAGTTGTAAACAACTTAGGTCTTAGCCCATGTACCTTTCCATGGCCACAATTTTGGGTCAGATAGAGGTATTACGTTTTAAACTATTCTATTTACCTAATTTACCTATTTACCAAATTTTATATAACAATTTATTACTTTCTAAAATAACAATTTCAGTTAAAACTATGCGAAAACTAGATTCTTCTAGAAATTAAATTTCTTTATTATCGCGAAAAAATATATAAAACTACCTACATATATATATACATACAAATTCAAAAATATACATACATACCTATGTATTAAAACATATTTGTATAATTATGGTTGAGATAACACATGAAAGTACTTCAATAAACAAATATTGACTTCTTATGACTAAACACTTCACTTTGCGATGCTACAATGACCAAAACATCCTGCAAATTATTGATTAGACCATGGAATCAAAACTTTGATTAAATTCTTTAACGCAAGTTTGATCATATCAAAATAATAATCCCAAGGCATTTTGATTTTGACAACTTTTTGAAAAACAATTATCAAAACAATGATACAATGTGTAAAAAAATCCATATGATTTCTACCGATATTGCTGAAAATACTCTGCTGTTATATTTCAATAATTGCTGTAAATAATACTGACGAAGAGAACTGTGATAAAAATAGAACTGCTTCTGCCAAGAGGTTAGTTTTTAGCAAATAATTAAATAAGCCGTACATCTCATTTTTGGAATAGGCCGGTAAGCAACCCTCAATCGGTTATTCAAAAACAACAATGGGTTTTATTCAAAAATCGTTTTATTCAAAATATAAACGCACTACAAACTATACAAATCAAAGAATACAATTAGTTTCGCAAGTGTTTAAAAACACATACACTAGATAAAAAGCTTTTAAAACATATGGCAACTAAATACAAACGAGGATACACGTTGCTCACTTAATGCTAATACATATGTTGTAAAAATGTTTCGAGGGCCTAAGATCTAAATTTTGACTGGGCTTTGTAAGACATAGCTGCAGATCATAGGGGTATGACTTATGCAGGTTGTGTGAGAATGAAACATATGAAAAATACATACATTCTTTAAAGAATATGAGCCTAACGGACTTAACAGCCGATATTTTCTCTTTTAGGTATATGCACATCACATTCAGTTGCATGTTTAGGATTTTTATAAATATTATCATCTCTATCTCATTTTCACTCTACAATGTGTCCCAGGGAATCGCCCACGCGTATTTTTTGGCCAGCAATAATGTCGAATTTGAAATTCTTCGGCGCTTCGAATAACAGGACAATGGTGCTGCCCATGTTAAATTGTCCAACAAGTTCGCCTTTATCAAATTTGAGTTGCTCCTGTTCCTGTGTGTTCAGCTGCAGTTCATCGTATTCATAGGTGCTGGGCGGATGTGCGCCCATTTTGAGGCCTGTCCAGCGGTTAGTTTTTAAGTCAGCATCCATATAGATTTCAACAGAGCCCACATTTGTAGCGCCCACGGCGGTGTAACTGAAGAAACCATACTTCCAGTTTCCCATATACAGGACTCGCTCGTTCAGGCAGAACAAGCCGGGCAGCCAATTGGCCACCTTGGGATTAACCGAGAGTAGTTCGCCAGAGAAATGGCGACGCACCTGCGGCTGCCAGGCGGTAGGTGAATGAAATCGATGGTAGTCTCCGGGCGCTAGATAAATAACACATTGAAACAGCTCTGTTGAGCCGTCACGCTTTTGTTTGATTGCCTGCGCATAGCTTACCGCTGACGACTTCTCGGCAGCTGCCGATTCCTGCAGTGGTCCCAAAAAGTCTTCAATGCTGTAATTAACTCCCTTCACCTGTTCAATAAGGGTATCAGCAGCGCTGCCAAAATGCAGTACTTTGCCATCGGCGGGTGAGACTAAAGGCGCTTGCGAATCTATAGTGCGCGCCCCTTCCTTCAGAGGTCGCGTAAAGAACTGTGCCAAGCTGCTGTAGTGGCCATAGTCCGGATAGAGTGCCTCGTTTATGTTGACATTAAACGTACTCGAATACCAGCCGTAGACGTAGGGTCGCAACGGCTCCGGCATATAGCATGCCGCTAGCCAGCCCCAGCAGCGACTGATAATACGCAAAGGTAGTGAACAGTACACACGGGACTGGAACTCTGACGCCGTTCGCGGTGTATTCTCATGATGGCAGCGTCGCTTGTGCCATTGCCATTCGATGGCGCCAAACACACAAATACCCATTGGCGCCCAACGCAAAAGAAAACCGGTCCAGCGCCAAAAAGCATTCCGCTGAACTTCTAGAAGATTCTGATCGCTCTTTTGTTGTTTCTGCTTCGGTTTGGGCTGTGCTCGCTCGAGCGTGTTGTTGTTGTTAATCATATCTTGTCTGGCTTGGGATGGCGACTCTTTAGAGTGTGAAACTGCATTGGGTTTTGTTGATGATTGACGAAAATGTCGCAAAACAGGCCATTTTCCATTTTGTTGAGCGGTATGTTTTGTTTGTTGTTGCTGCTGCTGTTGTATCACCTGCCTTAAATTGCCGGCCTTAAGGAGGAAACGGCCGCGAGGCACAAAGTAGGAAACCATTGTTATAGCCCAATACAATGCACACTAAGGTGGGTTTAGTCCGTAGCCTTTTTTTTAGCTTTTCTTCTGTCGCCGCCAACTGTTGCAGTTGTTGTTGCTTTTTGTCGTTTTCTTTTCTTTTTGGTGTGCCCACCCACGCCTGCTTCTGATTACGTATTGTGCGTGCCGTTCGGCTAAATGGAGCACAAGTGTTTTTCCACAAGTTCGCGCCCTTTTGTACTGAAATGGGCACACGCTAATGACTCAAAGTCAGACTTTTAGAAAAATAAATGTGTAAAAACAGATCATGCAGTAAGATTCCTGTCATAAAATTCATTTATTTGTGGATCGTTGAAGAAGTCACGTTGCTTGACGCAAGCTAAGAAGAGAAGAGCACACTTCCGTATCGTAGCACTGGCTGGCGCAGACTGAAAGCGAAGCAAATGTTAAATGCTTTCAATTCAATGCGCTACGCACATTATTGCAGGCAGCTTGCTCACCAAAACAAATGCTGAACACAACACGGTTATCAAAGTTGTCGCTTTGGTTTGTTGATTGTTTGCGTCGTTTTTTGTAATCAACAATGGTCAAGGTTGATTTGATGGTTATTCTTTTTTACATGTCTGTGTTTACGAATTCCAAACTGGTTTTTAGTAAGCGCGCAATAATTTTCGGCTTCCCGCAAGATTAGGTTTACAGCTTTTTAATATTACGTCGCAGCTTTGGAGCCATTGGCTTTGGGTGCTGGAAACTCTGGTCACGCAGCACAGGGTGGCACGAGTGTAACGTAACAGCTGATTCATTATTTGTGTTTTTTTCGTGAAGAAAAGCCATTTGTATTGATGCGCAGATTACGAAATTGAAACGCATCTGTCACACCATGAGTGAGGCTGAAAAGGAGTCGGTGTCCTTTGCCTGCCAGCGCTGCCTCCAACCAATAGTGTTGGATGAGCATCTGGACAAGATTAGTGTGCACGCTACAGCTGAACTTTCACGTAAGACCATGGCGTAAGCGTAATTAAGGCTTATTAACGTATGTACATACATATTTGACGTACCTTGCAGTGCCGATTTACGGAGGGAACGTAAACACACTCGATACACAGGATGCCAGTAGCTTTGATCACTTTGTGCCTCCCTACAGGCTCACGGACTCCATCAATGGTACAGGGTTTATGCTGGTCAGTGATGTTCGAGATAAAAAGATGAGCGCTGCCTTCAAACTGAAAGCAGAGTTATTTGACTGCTTGTCCTCCAATTCTGAGATTGATCACCCGCTGTGCGAGGAATGCGCCGACTCTATGCTGGAAATCATGGACAGGGAGCTGTGCATTGCCGAAGACGAGTGGAATGTATATAAAGCATACTTGAAAGATCTCGAGCAACAGCAGGAGGCTCCCAATGTAAACGCCCTGGACAAGGAATTGGCAGAACTGAAGCAAAGCGAGCAGCAATTGCTTGCTGAGTTGGCCAGTCTCAAGGCGGAAGAACAAACGCTTAATATGGCAATTGCGCAGGAGGAGTTGGAAAAGGAAAAACTGCATGAACAGGAGGAGAGCTATTGGCGCGAGTACACGAAGCATCGGCGAGAACTCATGCTTACGGAGGATGACAAACGTAGCCTGGAGTGCCAAATCGCGTATTCAAAACAGCAGCTGGACAAACTGCGCGACACCAATATTTTTAATATCACATTTCATATATGGCATGCCGGACACTTTGGCACAATCAATAACTTTCGACTGGGCCGCCTGCCCTCTGTTTCGGTCGATTGGTCAGAGATTAATGCTGCCTGGGGCCAAACAGTACTGCTCCTGTCAGCGCTAGCACGTAAAATCGGACTGACCTTTGAGCGCTATCGTGTTGTGCCCTTTGGCAATCATTCCTATGTGGAAGTGCTTGGAGAGAATCGGGAGTTGCCGCTTTATGGTAGCGGCGGCTTTAAATTTTTTTGGGACACGAAATTTGATGCTGCCATGGTTGCGTTTCTTGACTGTCTGATGCAGTTTCAACGGGAGGTTGAGAAGACAGATCAAGAGTTTCTACTGCCCTATAAAATGGAAAAGGGCAAAATCATAGACCCGTCCACGGGCAATTCCTACTCAATTAAGTATATTTATTTTACATAATACTCCAGCAACACTTCCTAATTTTCTAAACATTTTCAGAATACAATTCAACTCTGAAGAACAATGGACAAAAGCTTTAAAATTTATGCTCACAAACCTAAAGTGGGGACTTGCGTGGGTCTCCTCGCAGTGCGTCAGGCAGTAGTTAGAATTAAACATTTAATCGTGTTTATTTATGTATATTAATTAGTACTTTATATTAAACTTAAATCTTTTAAATTTTTGCCACCGCAGTTTTTTTTATAGATACATAGTCGTCGCTGTCGTCTGAGTCCGTACCGGAGATATCATCGCCTATCCAGAGTGCTCCCTTTTTTGTCTTTTTAGCCTTTTTCTTGTCTTTTGCGCCATTTTTGCGCTTTGTACCTGTGGCACCGGTACTGCTGCCATTACTGCTGCCCGCCTCTTCGGGCTGAATGGCTGCTGCATTATGTTTGGATTCTTCTGCTTGTTTCAAACCCTCCTCAAACGCATCGCTCACCTTCTCCGTAAGCTTCTCACGAGCCTTCTCGTATTGCTCGTCCTTGAAATCATGCTTTGGCACTGAAAGTAGTTTGTCGATTTTCCGCTTCTTGCGCTCCTCCGCCTCACGTTCACGCTCACCCTGCTTCTCCAGCCATGCCCTCACTCGTTTTTCCTCGTTGATATCGCGCAGACGACGCCCACTAAGGTCACGACATGCCTCCCGATTTGTTGTCTTCTCAATTTGTGCGCCAATGGCACGCAGCATAGATCCAAATCCACCCTTGCCACCGAACATTCGCAGGATGCAGTGTACATCGCTTCCACCAAGTTCTTGGTCATCACCTGTCAAACGTTTTCCGCTACTGGTCAAGTAGTACTCATTGCCTTGTAAGTTCTGTAATAAACATGCGATTGCAGCATTTATATACCAATTCTCTCATGTTACTCACCGTAGCCTCCTCAATGCAAGCACATATATCTTCATATTTGGAGCAATTTCTTGCAATTAGGTGTTTATTGTTTATCAAAATATTAATCATCATTTCCACTTTATTCTATTGTACTCGGCTATTCTGCTTTGTGCTGCTGCATCGCACATTTCCGTAAGGTAGAAAGAGAAAGCGGTGATGCAAGCGTTTGTTTCGCCACGCAGAGTTGCCACTTGGCTAACAGAGGTTTTAATTCATGCCCAAATATTTAAATATTTTGTGAATATTATTGTACTAAAGCTGTATTGACTATAATTATTACTTTTAAGAAATTAAGTCATTGCAAAAATGGGCAGTTCAACTTTCTTACAGCGTTTCGACTCTTGCCGCCATTGCAGCAATGCAATTTTAACGAGTTGGCATTTCGTTCTCACTCATTAGTTAGTTCGCATTTTAGACGACGAAGGTAAAATTTTAGCGACGCGTTAAACGCAGAATTTAACCAATTTGGAGTGACGGAAGTGGTGAAAATCTAACAAAAACCGGTAGCTTCTGAACTTGGCCAACGCGTTAGATGTGTTAAAAAGGCAATGGCCAAATAAAATGCGGTAAATTTACATCCGCAGCCACGTCACAGCGAATAAAAGTCTGGATTTCGGAAATGAAATCCCAATTCTAAGCTGAACAAAAAACGGCAGCAGCGCAGCGGCGAACAATGGGCAAACGTACAGCGGCGGCGGTGGTAGTTGTTAATGTTAATCTTGGTATTCTGCATCGTTTTTGGGGAGGGGAAGAGACAAAACACACCAAAGTAAAAAACGCCAGCATAAAAGATGGCAGCGCAAAAGTGAACAAGAAGATATTCGAAAAAAGCAACACTAAAAATTGCTTTTATAACGCGACCGCGACATTCGCATTTTGCATTGGTGTTAGTTGAAAACGTTCCACTATTCAAAATCAAGAGCAACGCGATTCATATATGCCATAACATGTATACACATATACATACATATATGTATATTCATCTATTGATGTGTGGTGCATGTTTTAATTTTATTCCAAAGTTTTTAATTTTTGCTACTAAACTAATGCAACCGTGCGTTTTTGCTGGCCGGTTTCGCAAATTTCCTTCTTTCTCCATGTTTTTCATTATGTATTTTGTTATCGACGGTCATTCATCTTCTAGTTGATTTTCATGTCGCCTTTCGCCCTCTTTTCTCTCTGTGTGTGTAATGTTCTATAATTGAGTTGCCAAAAAAAATGGAAACAGTGCAGAATTCATATCAAATGAAATAATATTATTAATTATGAACTCATGTGAGTTGTTGGCGTCGCACATGCATTTTTAATAGAAATGCCTTGCTGCGAATGAATGGTTTGTCTCAATTGTGTGGCTTTTGCTTTGTCATAAAAACGCGGATACTCGACCGATGTACATATGTGCGCATGTAAACGTGTGTGTGTGAGTGAGCGCCCTGTGCTTGCACTGCTTTTCGTTCACCGCCAGTTCTTTGTTTCATACAACATTATCCATATCTTTCACCTTATTTTTAATGCAACAATTCGATCATGTGCTGCGGATTTCCCTCTATAGGAAGACAGCACCCCAATTTATAAGTACAATTGGAAAAAAAAACTGTGTCCTAACCTTAACTAATTTAACTCATTTTCGAATACATACATACATACATATGTATGTATATGGTTGCTGGGTGCAAGTCGGCCATGCAGTCTCCGTCAGGGTGATTCTGTGAATTACTTCAATTAAATATTAGGCATCATACATTTGTTTCGATGTTTAAATAATTTGCTAAGGGCATTATTATATTTCTCATTACAGTGATTTCCAGTGTTCAGCTTCGAGTCCGACTCAACTTGCGAACTTGCACTTAAAAAGCATCTAGAGCTAGTAACAAGAACTTTTGTACATTAACATTAGTAGCAAAGTGAAAACAAAAAAGTTTAAAATTTACACAAAAAGGGGAAATAACTTAAATCGTAGTAACGAATCATAAACATAGCACTGAAAAAATTAAATTTTTGCTAAGCTAAATAACAAAAAGTATTTATAAACTGTTATATACACACTCTTGTAAGCTTGGACATACATAGAGCTGAAGCTGAACGCGCCAAGAGCTAATCAATATATTCCAAAACACTCCATTAGTGTATAGGTAGGACATATATTAAAGAAATTTTTGGATCAAGTGCAACAATAGTAACAACAAAAAGGAAGCAGCCACAACAGTAACTGGAGTAACAACAACAGCGAAAAGCAATAAACGACGAACCTCAGCGTTAAGCATAAAGATTTACTATTACCATATATATAGATATATAAAATAAAACATATATATATATATATATAAAGAGAACAGGAGGAGAAGTCCGCCACTTTGGAATAGTCAAAGTATTCAAAAAATTTTAGGAATAGCGCCGTTATTGTCAGACCTGTTTTTAGTTGTAAAAGTTCAAAAGAAATTATATATATATTCATATATATATATATATATTGTACGTATGTGCGTGTGTGAACTTTTTATATAAAACAAAAATAAAAAACAATTTGAGGGTGGTAACAAAAGTAGTAGCCTATTTTTTATATCAGTTTTCTATTGATGCCGCCTAAGTAACTGCGTGTTGCTTGTAGTGTAGCATTAGGCGTTAGATTAGCTGACGTAGGAGAACATAAAACTACATATTTCTGTCAGAAGACACACCCACATCCCCCTAAAGGAGGCAACCAGACAAGACAACTCCAAAGAAACGACGTCAACGACGTGAACTACAGCAGCTGTACACCATGGATGACTCACAGCCGAAAACACTATACGTGGGCAACCTCGATGTCTCTGTGTCGGAGGATTTACTCATAGCGCTTTTTGGCAAAATGGGAGCAGTAAAAAGTTGTAAAATCATAAGGGAACCGGGCAACGATCCTTATGCCTTCATCGAATATTCCAATTATCAGGCAGCTGCAACTGCGCTAACCGCCATGAACAAACGTGTCTTTCTCGACAAAGAGATTAAAGTGGGTATTCATCCATATCATATAATTAACTTTTTAACCAAACGCTTTTAATTTTTAGGTTAACTGGGCCACCAGTCCGGGCAATCAGCCGAAGACAGACATCAGTTCTCATCATCACATATTTGTTGGTGATCTCAGTCCCGAAATCGAAACGGAAACATTGCGTGAGGCTTTCGCTCCATTTGGCGAAATATCGAACTGCCGCATTGTCCGCGATCCACAGACAATGAAGTCCAAGGGCTATGCCTTCGTATCCTTCGTAAAGAAAGCGGAAGCGGAGAATGCAATACAAGCAATGAATGGTCAGTGGATTGGCTCGCGTTCAATACGCACGAATTGGTCGACACGCAAAATGCCGCCACCACGAGAGTCGTCCAAAGGCGGCGGTCAGGGCGGTGGCATGGGAGGCATTGGCGGCGCTGGAAATGGCACAGGTGGTATCAAAAGCAATGTTCGACACACCTTTGAGGAGGTCTACAACCAATCGAGTCCGACAAATACCACCGTCTATTGCGGAGGCTTCCAGCCCAATGTGATAAGCGATGAGTTGATGCACAAACACTTCATGCAATTCGGTCACATACAAGATGTACGCGTCTTCAAAGACAAGGGCTTTGCGTTTATAAAGTTCGTCGCCAAGGATGCAGCAGCACGCGCCATCGAGCATACGCACAACAGTGAGGTGCACGGTAATCTCGTGAAATGCTTCTGGGGCAAGGAAAACGGGGGAGACAATTCAGCCAACAATCTATCTGCAGCAGCAGCGGCATCTGCAAACGTTGCTGCCGTGGCAGCTGCCAATGCAGCAGCCGCCGCAGGAGCAGCCATGCCCGGTCAAATGATGACCCAACAACAGATAGCAGCGGCCACTGGGGCCGCGATACCCGGCCAAATGATGACACCGCAACAGCTAGCGGCCGCAACAGCGGCGCAATATCCATATGCGGCATATCAGCAGATGAGCTATTGGTATCCACCTGCGGTGAGTTTTTAGCATAAATACAATTTCTATATCATAGACATATATACAGATTTCTTCATTACAGGGCTATCCGACTGCTCAGATGCCCACACAGTACATGCAGCAGGGCTACTATCCATACGCCTATACAACCAGTGCTCAACAAGCGGGAGGCATGCGTAAGTATAATTCCCAAATCATAAACTAAGGTATAACAACAAACTATACCCACTATGTGCTTCCATTATTGTCTAAAGTAAAAGTTAGGTGCATCTTTAGAATAATTTTCTAAAAACATTCATATAAAACACGTCCGACTTAGTTGGTTAAACATACTGCAATCCCAATTACCGTTTTGGATTCCTTCCAGACAAATTTTACATTGATTAATTATAACTTTTTTTTAACAAAAATATTCACGATTTTGTACACCTCTTAATTGTGCGTGAGCTTGAAGCTTAAAGCAAATAGGTGTTAGATTTGGATATCCGGACGATTTCAACCATTTGAAATTTCTTGAATAATTTATTTTTAGCTCAAGTTATCAGGAAATGTTTGAACCTTCCAAAAGTATAATCATTCAACATAAAATAAAATTGGTAATAACTAAAAGGAGTTACAGTTCCTATTCCATTTTATTATTACAGACGATTTATATTTTCATTATATCGAATCACTGCCGTGTTGCACGATATTGTTTTTATACTCTGTACATGAAATGTACAGAAGTATATTAGGTTTGCGGGAGCTGAAAAATGTAACAGACAGAAGGAGGCGTGGCAGACCCCACAAAGTATATATATTCTTGATCAGCATGACGAGACGAGTCGATTTAGCCCTGTCTGTCCGTCTGTCCGTCCGTATGAACACCTGAATCTCAGAGACTATAAAAGATAGAGACACCAAATTTTGCACAAAGATGCCTTATGTATGTACGCTATACGAGTTTTTTTTTTTTTTTTTTTTTATTTTCCCCCCACTTCCCCCCTATGGGGGTTTTCCCGATTCTCCATTCGTATAATCGCCTATATCTCGGAGACTATAAGACACCAAATTTTAGTCCCAGATGCCTTATGTGAATACGCAGAAAATGTATATTTTGGAATTTCCTTCCCTTCCGCCCTGTGTCCGTATGCCAAGTTCCACTATAATAGACCGATTTAACGAGAAGTTATAGCCATAAATATATTTGCTGCTGCAGCGCTGCTCAAGCGCTGCCCGCGGCTGTTGTTGATGTTGCTGTTTAGTTGACTGCTAACATGTTTACACAGACACGAATAGATGCACATAGGCATACATACACTCACACAGACGCAATTGCCTTGTAAATGGGCAATTATACACCATTTACGTGAGTTCGAATACCGAGAGAGGTAAAATCGATCCAATTTTTTTTTTAATTTTCTTAATTTGTTATACCCTGTACCCAAAGGGTACAAGGGTATATTAGTTTTGTGCGAGTGCACATGGAACGCACAGAAGGAGGCTTGGTAGACCCCACAAAGTATATATATTCTTGATCAGCATGACAAGCCGAGTCGATATAGCCATGTCCGTGTGTCTGTCTGTATGAACGCAAGGATCTCCGAAAGTATAAGAGCTAGAATAAGCAAACTTGGTATACAGATTCTACTGAGACCGAGAAAGGACGAGTTTGTTCATTTTTTCTGATCCACCCCTCCACTCCCCCCCTATTAACAATTTTCTATAACTCCCGTAATTCTTAGAATTTTGAACTAAAATTTGGTAGTCACATTAGGTTAGTAATTATATATCCGTATACCAAGTTTCATTATGATAGAATGATCGGAAAGAAAGGTATAGCCATATAACCAGGCCCAATGCACACATACATACATATGTACAAGTACAAAAACACGCATAAGGCACGATTCTGATGTAAATGTAAATGTATGTATGCATGCATGGAATATTTTATATTTAATTTAGTTAATTAATTAAATTAATTTAGTTAATTACTTTAATTTAATTAATTAATTAATTTAATTACTTTTTTGTGGGGTGGTACAGGGTATTTAAGAGTTGAGCCTGCTCGACTTTAGCATTCCTTTCTTGTTTTATTTTCTATAGTTATTGTAAACATATGTACAGAGTATTTCAAAGTCGGGACACCCAACTTTAGCTTTTTTACTTGTTTGATGTCGCGTTGTAGATAATGCCTTTCCAACTCGACTTTTTTTTAACATTTAAAGCAATGGTTTTCAAAGTTCATCCCTAAAAAATATTAAAAACCTTAACAAGGACTATTAATTTCTAATTGTGGTGAATTCTGTTATTTGCAGCGACCGGCTATCGTATGGTGCCACCGAATGTGGCATGGGGTGTACCGGGAGCTGTGATGCCGGGCGTAACAGCAGCCACTGCGGCTGCGGCAGCCAATGGTTCGCTTGGCCCTCAGGTAATGTACAGCGCCGCGATGCCACAATATCAGACCCAATGAGCAGAGACGTGACGCCTGCTTCGACGCCGTCTGCACCATCCGGGCATTCGTTTTAGCCAACATCGTGCACTTCAACAGCAACAACAACAACAAGAACAACAGCAACATTATTATCAACAATACGTGCACTTCGTTGTTGGCAATAGCCCCTATAAAATGCCAATGCCAGTTACTATGATAAGCAGTAATAACACCAGCAGTAGCAGCAGAGGCGAGGACGGGACTTTCATCTTGGCAGCATCGGAATAGGTAGCAACAACCAAACTACACAAAAACAACACAACAATAGCAACAGAAAAGACCCAAAACCACAGTTTATAATTTCAGTTTCATTTGAAGTGCGTTTCTTCAGTTCAGTTGATTTGTTTTACGCCACGTCATAGGTGAATAAAAACAAAAAGTTTAGTGTTAGCGATCGATTGTTCATATTATATGATCAGCCATCCTCGACGTTAGTGTTAAAGCAACAACCAACAACTAGAAACGCCGAATGGGCAGCTCATTGCTGCCTTTATTCCAAACCTGACGACTGCTCAGAGTGTGCTCTCGATGATGATTATGTTGAGAGCGTAGACGAAATATAGTAACTTATCGAAGCGAAGCGTAGAACTTAAAGTTAAATCACGCGCATCAGCTGCAGCATCGGCAGCAGAAAAAGCAGCATCAAAGGCGACAGCGGCGGCATCTCGAAGCTGGGCGACGGGCGGGTAGCTGTAACAATCTAATCCAATCTAAGTACATGTTAAAGTAATTTAATGATTTGTAATTTAAGTCAGATATAGGCATATACAAAAACAAAACAAAAAGGCGAAAAAAGCAACAACAAATTGAGGAAACAATCGAAAATCGTGACAAAGCAAATTCTACTTGTAACTTGTAACGTGAGTTCTCCGCGTTGAAAATTTCAACAAAAAGGAAGGCAACATATAAGTTTAAAAGCAAAACAAACAAAAAAAATTAATAAAAATTAATAAATCGAAAAATGCAAAAACAAATTTAGTTACTAAGCGATTGTAAATGCGACCGTATATTTCCATTGTGAAAACAAATGCGATATAAATATTGTAAAATAAAGAAACAAAAAAATATAAAAAACAACAGAAAACCACAAAATTTGAAGTTTTGAATATTAAGGGAACTTTTTTATGAAATGTTTCATTAGCTGAAAAAATATACCGGACAAATTCTTCTGAGTCGGGTGGGGACGCACGTTAATGAACATTGCATAATTAGGTGTATTCTGATTTTACGCGGTAGATTGGTTCCAGAAACAACCGTGTAAAAAGGGACATTTATCATATGCAAAAATAGGTGATTGGTTCCTTACCTCTAAAGAAATACATATATATTTCAAACCGGCTTATATCAAATTCGTGTAAAAAAAAACAGTTTAAAAACAGAATTAGGTGAATTTATATACAAGTATTACACAATAAATTTATCTAAAAACAAAACTTTTTATGTAACAAAAATAAAAATTATAAATTAAAAAATTCTACAAATATAAAAGTACTATAACTAACAATTCGACTTATAAAAAATGAGATATAAGTAAAATAAAAAAAATTGAATTATAACAAATTAAATAGAGACAAAATGTTACACAAACAAAACAAAGAAGAAAACACGGTTAGAAATATTTTTAAATATAGAAATATTTTCAAATAAACAAATTGTGCTAGTCTCTGATCCGTTGGGGAAAGATTTATTAGCCAGTCCACACACATAACCAAGCAGGCACAGATTCACTCAAATACGGAGTTGGGAAGGTTTATTAACCTGTCCGGCAGGCTATACTCCGACTTTGCTGAGCTGCTTGGTGCACCACCCGGACGTTGCTTCTTTAAGTGAGGAAGAGTTCAATTGTGAGTAGGTGAGAAAATTCGATATACATCGTCAGTTAGCTAACAACGGAAGGCTCATAAGCAAAAGTCTGCTAGAGTAGGGTAGAAGTTTGGGATCCCATATTACACCACAAAGATCAAAAAGAAGAAATTGCTTCGGGACCAACACAATGCTGAGCACTCCAAACTCATGAGCAGTAAAGCTAAGGACGTATTTGCGTTGAGACCACATTTAGCCTTGCTTTCGATAATGAAGACGTGGAGTTTAATGTTAAGTCAAAAAAAAGGACTGTAAGATCTTAGATTGTAAATAAAATGTGATGCATCACACTATAGTACAGACATTTTACAACTGGAATTGGGCACATCATTTGGATAACAGTTCCTTTATCGACTTTGGCCAAATTCTAAGACTTTATTGCATTTATTTGAATAGCTAAATTATCGCAGAAAGCCCCAACGCGAGATCAGCGACAATAGGAAATCAATTATCGTAATGTTCCGGTGAATGGGCATGATTAGTATTTGATAGGAAAGACGTGGCTAATTATTATTATCATTTTGAAATCGTTTTTATTCAGCGTTCTCTATTTGCATCTGTGGCTGCTATCCTTAATATTATGCATGTATAATGTATATTTTGTGGGCTTGTGTTTAGTTACTAGGCGTAAAACTAGATAGTGTTTTGGTTGTTGCATGAAGCTGCGCAGAGAATCGCCACAAGCACCGGCATTATTCGTATTTACTCGTATGTATGTACATACTATGCGTGTGTCTTCTGATTGTGAGTGTCTTGTATGTACTTAGTATTTTGAGATATATGTATGTGTGTTCGCAACTCGTAGGTACACTTAACATTTGGATTTGCTACTAATAAAGTTAGGTACAAAAATTAACAAACGGCACAAAGTAAATACTAAACTATTGTACATTTGTGGAGGAACTTAACTAGAGCGCGCTGGAATTTGTGAAATTTGTTTGGTTGTTAGCAATAGAGCATATACTTAAAGGCTATGGCTTATGTCTAGATTACATGTAATTGGATGTGGGCTCCCCATTGCAGTTTGGGTGCGATAACCGTGAATAGCAATTCATCACATATATTACTTTTGCGAAGCACCAAAATATCATGAATTTGTATTTCTTCAAATTGCGACATCCACCCATTCAGTAATCTTCAGTGGCATTGTTATTATTTGTCGCGTTAATTTTAAATTTGACAAAGTTATGTTCATGTTTTTGGGCTCTGTTTTTGAATATGTACCAATAAAGAAAAACATAAGCTGTACAAAATAATAGTAAGGTTTGAGTATTTGAAATTGTAGGCCTACGTTATTTTATGAATGGAAGTACAGCAATTGAAAAAAATACTTAAAGTTAGAAAAAATGTATAATTATTACAATGTCTAACAACTCGGAATGTTTTTACATAAAAAGTGTTGAACATTTATTGGATTTGATGTTACAAAACTTAATAACTGCTGAACTACGTAAAAATTAATTAACAAATAAAGCTGTCTCGCTTACGCTTGGAATATAGGCTGGGATATGGAAATGGATAATCCTTTAATTAACTTAAAGTTATTTAAATAGTACCTTCACTTTTTACATACATTCTTAGAAAACATTTGCTTACAAACGATACTCAATTAAGGAATACTTTTCAAAAAACATTAAAGAATATGGCTTATGGATAATGTTTATAACTTTGCATAAAGTGGTGAAAAAAACAATAGTTTCAATTCAAACTCCAAAAAGTAGCACGAGATCGTATTAAAGAATATACGTTTATAAACTCAAGTGCTTTTTCCCTCTATCATTTGAATATAAAAAGAGAACATACATAACAAATTTTAAATATGAACTTAGGCGACAACAACAAACAATTTGTAAAACGGGGGCATTGGAAAAACAATGCTGGACATTGGATAAAAGGGAAAGCCGTGTGCAAGGCTAGAATAGCAATGAAATGAATTCTCACTCACATCATACGATCGTACAGTAGAGGCGAAAAATTGCTGTGCAGCCTTTTTTATAGTTACTGTAGTTATTTGACTGTTTGCTGTCTGTTGGACTATTTGATTGCGTTATGCAATGTGGGTGTACTGTGTATTTTGGGTGGGTCTTATAAATATTGCCTCCAGAATCGAACAGCAATAAAATGCCACCAGACTAAATGGTAATATCGCCATAGTCTTGAGACCATTTCTCGTACGAGTTGAGACTTTGCGGTGCCACTGATCGGCGAATGCGTTTCAATGAGTTGTGGAAATCGTTTTCAGTTATGGCACGCATAGCGCTAATATCCAAACACTTGACCTGCTCCACATTTAGTTCCCGTATGGGCTCGAGTGCCGCATCCTTGGCCAATGCCGTCAGATCTGAGCCGGAGTACCCTTCGGTCACTTTTGCTAGACGTCGCAATGCTTCCGTATCCAGCGGGCCGCCTTGCTTTTGTAGCAGACGACTGAGCAGCAATTCCCGTGTCTCCGCATCGGGCAGTGAAACGTAGACTCGCTTGGTAAACCTACGCAATGCTGCCTCGTCGAGCTCCTGCGGTCGATTTGTCGCCGCCAGCACAACAATGCGATCACCCTCCGGATTTCCGGGTAATCCATCGAATTCGACTAGAAATTCGGTTTTCAGGCGACGCGATGCCTCATGTTCATTGCTGCTGCGCTCAGACAGCAACGAGTCTACTTCGTCTATAAATATTATCGAGGGCTGCAAATGCCTGGCCACAGCAAAAAGGGCGCGCACCAGTTTCTCGCCATCTCCCACATACTTGCTGGTGAGGGAAGCGGCTGAGATGTTCAAGAATGTAGCACTGCATTCGGTTGCCACAGCGCGAGCCAACAAAGTTTTGCCATTGCCGGGCGGACCAAAGAGTAGCAACCCCTTAGCGGGCGCGCGTAGACCTGAAAAAAGAGTTTACATTATTCAGCTATAACTACATATTTGGGTATTGATACAGCTTAGCTAGATAGATAGTAGCTATTGCTTTCACATAAGTAGTCGAACTCTGTCTATGTTGGTTTTGAAAGCCTTATTCTTGCAAGAAATTGAACCATAGTGATGTGCTGTAATGTCTCTCACACTATGCAGGTTTTGAATTGAGTTGTAGAACTCATTGATTTAGCGAAAAAACTAAGAACAAACTGTCGATAGTTTTGTTGGACGAGAAATTCTCCGATATCAGTCAATTCCTAATAAATCAGTTAATAAATTTGGCACTTAACAAGAAACACAAAACAGTAATATCAATCTGGATTCAACAAACACCAGATCAATTATATTTGATCGTGACTTTTTACAATTTTTTGGATGGTTCCTAGTATAAGGCTGTTGAAGTGTTCTATTGAATAAAAAAGCACAATTTAAGATGCAGCGAAAAATGGAACAAATGCTTTGTTTATATAAACAAAAAATAAACTGGATTACAACTAAAGTGAACTTATAATTAGTGAATTACCTGTGAACAATTCGGGCCTCACAGACGGCAGTATGACCATTTCCTGCAGCGCCTGTTTGGCCACTTCTTGGCCTGCAATGTCGGACCACTCGACCTTGGCGCCACCCTCAACGATTTCATCAAGTATAAGCTGCACAAGTTTTTGTTCCACACCCTTGACACTGACCACTGGTGTGCTGGCGCCACTACTCGATGCATTATTGTTTATGGGAGTACGGGAACGCTGTGGCGGTGTATTACGCCCGGAGGACTGTTGAACCGAAGGAGAGTTTGGCTAAATAAAATATTACTTTATAGGGCATAACTCGACTTACAAACTGACGACGCACAGCTGGCGGTGTGGCCGCTGTTTTGCCAGGCTGGCGCTGTACTGCGGCACCAACAGTGGTCTTCGAGCCGAGATTGCGGGGCAACGTTTGTGACTTGTTAACGACGGCAAGGTTTCCGGGGCGCTTGGTGCCAATAGTTAGCTTGCGGCCTGAAGCTGAAAGTAAACAATAAAACGACATTACAATGTTAACTGTTGCTTTTGTAGAACTGCGAGAGGAACGGTCCTGCTGCGTGGCGTTTCTTATAAAACTTTAGAAAAATTGATTGGCTTTTAAGCATTTTTTTATTTCAAAACTTTTACAATAAAACGCACGCAAATATCGTTCCATATTCATGTCTAATACTATATAGATTGGGCAGTAGCTTATAGATTTTGTTTTTAACACAATTATATTTAAACTTAAATTAATTTAATAGACAAAATAAATAAAAGTAAAGCGCATGCAGTGCTTGAGTGAAGATGTAAGAAAATACTGTGAATACGTCGATTGATTGATTGTTTGATTGGAGTTTTTGTTACTTGCGCGCTCGGTGTTTTTTGTTTATTTCTGGTGCTAACTGCTGGTGTTGTTTGTAGATTAAGTTGCATGTGGATGTGTGGATGCTACAGCACTTACCCGCGGCTGAAACAGGATTAGACGTTGGTTTAGAGACGGTGCTTGCAGGCACGGGTCCGTAGCCGCTGCTACGGAGCCTGAGGGCTTTTGATGGACCAGCATTGGAGCTGTTCATGCCCGTCAGCATAGGCTGCCTTTGTTGCCCACTCTTGGCCTTATCCTGCTGATGATGCTTTGGCGGGTGCTGCTCTTTTATTGCCAGCCGTTGCATTTGCAAATCTTCCTCTCGTAGTGCTATGAAATCGGGACGCATACGTAGATGATGGACAACAAAAAAAAAGAACAAAATGCGCGCAGTGGGGAAAATAAAAGTGCAAATTAAAATCAAAAGTGTACAAAATCAAAATTGTTACGCTACAGTTGAAGTCCAGGAGGGGGAAGGAGTGTTGTACGTCTAGATTTTAAAGGACACTCACCGAGGAAGTGGAGGCGGTCACGTGCCATGGAGAGATTGGTTTGCATTTTGTCGTGTAGTCGCTGGGCACGATCCCAAACATCTCCGCGGCCGCTCCAGCAGTCGACGGCAATCCCATCCTCAAGCTCCTTGATGCCTTTTCGATACAGTTCAATAGCGAGCTCTTTGTGGCCTGCAACAAAGGAAATAAGGGCGACATTTGTTCATATGTATAAAGAGTGCTAATATGTGCGAGCTCGCATGTGAGGTCACACACATACATACATATGTATGTATGCCAGTGTGTGCTGCTATTGATTCTCACTGGCTGACAGACAACAAAGCGCGCAGAGTCTGCCAATGGATGTATGATGCCGATGACTCATGCAGCACACTTCTCATTCAACCCCAAACAGCTATTGTAAGAACCATATCCACTCACTCACCTTCATTCTCCTCATCAATCTTGAGTGCCTTGGAAATGTACTCAAAAGCACGTCGATGATGATGCTTTTGCTTGGCCAGCAGTGGATCTCCTGGTCCCGGTGAGTAGTTACCACCGCCACTGCCTCCACCACCACCCGCACGACTTGATGCCATTTCCAGCGGCTGTTGTGCCCGATAACGTTGCGTTTGCGTCTGCGACAGCTGCTCACCTCCACTAGTGACCTCTAATGGGTAGCTTAATGATTGCGTGCTGTTACTTTGCGTGTTGTTGTGCACCAGAAGTTGCTGTTCCTTGGAATTCTGCACAACAATTTCAATGTTGCATTCGCGCCTATGTGGCCGATAAATTACCTTTGTGCTTGCGCCGTACAAGTAGCGAAAAATACAAAACAGCTGATAGATCAGCGATCGTAAAACGTTGAACAGAAATATAATGGGAAATGAAACAACATAGAGATTTTGCTTGTGGACGGACGCACCGCTGCCACTGTACCCAAGTCTGGGACCACTGCCCGATGGCGTCAAATCATCAGCATCGGTATCCTCGTCTGGCGAGCTGCCAGGAGTTGTGCGTCGATTGGAGGACGACACGTTGTTAGACGAGGACTTCACGCGGTCGTCAATTAACGCGACACTGCAGCTGCTTGAGGTTTTGCGATGCGTACGATTACCGCTGGCGCTGCTACATGCCCCCGCACTGACGGGTGCCGAGCTGGCTTTAATTGGAGATTTTGTGGTGCTGCTGCTACTGTTGCTTACACTACCACTGCCACTGGAGGAGGACGATTGGTTTTTGTTGCGTACCATGGATATTGATTCCGCGCCGTAGCACCCCGTCTTATAGTTGGCGAAGTTTTTCCACCGCCACCTCTACCAACACCGCCACCTCCACCTTCACCGCCTCCAGTACGAACTTTGCTTCGATTTTAGCTTACTCGCGGCAGGACAATGAGGAAACCTGAATTGTTGTTGCTGCGCACACTATTATATGCTGACTTAAACAACCTAATTATATTAATATTTTATTTAAGTTAGGTTTTTAATTCTCATTTTGTTGTTATTTTAGCATGCTTAGTTTCGCAAACAACTTTTTCTCTCCGCATTTGCATCGACAAAAAACTGAAACTCTATTCGTTCCAACTGCTGCCGTAGTTGCCAGACGTTTGTAAAAGTTCCGTTTCAAAAAAAGGCAATGTATGTGTAACTGTAAAAAGTCGTTTACAAACGTAAACATTTCCACAACTCTTTCGGTATCGCGTCAGAATTGGGTACCGTTTTTTATAAAAAGCGTTTTATTCAAATCATTTGCAGTCAGTAACTACCGTTAGTCTGGCAGCAGTGTTCCCACAGGCGCCTTGGCAACCCTGCGCATGTGTTGCCCTTGATAAAAAATATCAGCTGCCGTCGTCGGGGTTCTGTATCTGCTGCTGCTTTTTGCATAACAAAATCACAAAAATTCGCGCACATATTTTAACAGCAACAACAACAACAAAAAACTAGTCATTGCACGAAAATAACCGCTGCCAATAGGGCGACAAGTAGATTCGATCTCAAGAGGAGCGTGCAGAGCAGCAGACACGGAACGAAAAACGAGCATGGGTCAGTACACAGCGGCACAGAGAAAAAATGTGCGTATTTTGTTAGTTGGCGATGCCGGGGTGGGTAAAACATCCCTGATATTGTCGCTGGTGAGTGAAGAGTATCCGGAAGATGTACCTCCGCGTGCCGAGGAGATAACCATACCGGCAAACGTGACGCCTGAGCAAGTGCCCACAAATATCGTAGACTTCTCCAGTGTGGAGCAGACAGAGGAAGCTCTGAATGCGGAGATAAATAAGGCGCATGTTGTGTGCATTGTCTACGCAGTGGATGATGACGACTCGCTGGATCGCATTACATCACATTGGTTACCGTTGGTGCGCTCTGCTTCTGGCACGGAGGGCGAGTCGCAGCAAGGTGTACGGAAGCCGATCGTGCTGGTGGGCAATAAAATCGATATGATTGACTACTCGACCATAGACAGCGTATTGGCCATAATGGAAGACTATCCAGAGATTGAGAGCTGTGTCGAGTGTTCGGCTAAGACACTGCACAATATTTCCGAAATGTTTTACTATGCACAAAAGGCGGTGCTGCATCCTACATCACCGCTGTATATCATGGATGAGCAAGACGTAAGTTAAACAGACGATGGCAAGGTCTAAGATAATCCCTGAACCTCATTTCAGTTGACGCCAGCCTGCAAGAAATCGCTGGTGCGCATTTTCAAGATTTGCGACATCGATGGCGATAATCTGCTGAATGATTACGAACTGAACCTGTTCCAACGACGCTGCTTTAACACGCCGCTGCAACCGCAAATACTTGACGAGGTCAAGGCTGTTATACAGAAAAATGTGCCCGATGGCATCATCAATGATGCCGTCACACTGAAAGGCTTTCTCTTCCTGCACTGTCTGTTCATACAGCGCGGACGAAATGAAACCACTTGGGCGGTGTTGCGGCGTTTTGGCTACAATGACCAGTTGGAAATGTGCCAGGACTATTTGCGACCGGCCTTGAAGATACCGCCAGGCAGCAGTACGGAGCTTTCGCATCGCGGCCAGCAATTTCTAATTGCTGTTTTCGAACGCTATGATCGCGATGGCGACGGTGCCCTCTCACCGGATGAGCACAAAATGCTTTTTAGCACCTGCCCTATGGCTCCCTGGTCCTACTCCACTGATATACGTAAATCGTGTCCGACAAATGATGGCGGCTGGGTGACCCTGCACGGCTGGCTGTGCCGCTGGACGCTCATGACACTCATCGATGTGGTGAAGACGCTAGAGTATCTGGCATACCTGGGCTTTAATGTGCACGAGAATGATAGCCAATTGGCGGCGATACATGTGACGCGGGAACGACGTATTGATCTGGCTAAGCGACAGAGCAGTCGCTCTGTATACAAATGTCATGTGATTGGACCGAAAGGCTCGGGAAAAACAGGCTTATGTCGCGGTTTTCTCATCGAAGAAATGAGCAAACTTATTGGCAAAGAATTCAAGACAAATGTAGTGCACTGCATTAACTCTGTACAAGTATATGGACAAGAAAAGCATTTGATATTGCGCGATATTGATGTGCGTCATGCCCTGGATCCTCTGCAGCCGCAGGAGGTGAACTGTGATGTAGCCTGCCTTGTCTACGATTCTTCTAATCCGCGTTCTTTTGAGTATGTCGCACGCATTTATATCAAATACTATGCAGAGAGCAAGATACCAGTCATTATTGTTGGAACTAAGTGTGATTTGGATGAGAGGCGCCAGGACTATCTCATGCAACCATCGGAGTTTTGTGAGAAATACAAATTGTTGCCCCCGCATCTGTTTAGCTTAAAGACCAATAAGAAGGAGCTCTATACAAAGCTGGCCACAATGGCTGCATTTCCGTGAGTATTGCACGGTTTTATATTAGAGGCCACTGGCATACACATGAATACAACATAAGTACACTCGTAACATACTGGGCTTGGCATGGGAATGGCTTTAGACTTAGGAAATATTTAGAGGCTTTAAAAGTAACTCTATACATAATATCTGTCGGTTTTTAAGGAGTGCGTTCATGAGAAAATGCTTAATATTAATTTGAATCCTTTTTCTTTCAAGATTCTATTGCTTTATGGTCTAACTGAGTGATAAAAAGTTTTCTCCTATTCTAGTAGATAGATTAACTATGATACTAAATATTGGAATCTAAAAATTTAAGTCACCGATTTTTTAACATTAATAATTGCCAAAAACCTTGAAATATTTTAGACAATCGATTTACTTGTTTTCGGCAAGAACAAAATTTTGTACTCAATTCGGTGGGAAAAATCTGATTTAATGCCAACATAACTTCTTCAAACACACTCCTTTAATATATGTATATATTCACATAAACCATCATCACTATCTATTAATACGTATAAATATTATTCTTATTCCTATTTTCTCTTCCCTGTGTGTTGGTTGGTGTACATTCTTGTAATGTGTTGTTGATTTTTGTTATTGAACGTTTTTGAAACGCATCTTGCAATTTGGATTGATGCACGATAGGCGTTTCCAAGCCGCCTGGATACTGTTCTACAAACACAGGTTGGTACAGCTGTGGGAATCGGCGTAAGTGTTGCAAATTCAAACTTCATAATTACTAATACCGTGTGTTGTTGTTTTTATTCTCTTCCATGCGCTGCAAGTTGCCAAGAAATATAATCCCAAGCAGCAACTGCATAATAATTTTCACTTATCATAGGCGCTTACTTAACGTGGTGTGGTTGCACTAATTACTGTGACACTGCTTCTGTTGTGTTGCCTAATCTTAGCTTAAGTTGCACGCCACATATTTGTTTTAGTTTAATTATGTTTAAAGCTAGTTTCTTGTTTTTGAGGACGTTTTCTAATGCATAATTTTATATAATTCGCAGTCATTTGCGTCAATTTGGACTTATGACGGAGGATCCTGCTTTATGGTGGAAGGCTGGATTGGGCGTGGCTGCTGCTACTGTGCTCGGCTTTATTGTTTTGAAAGCGTTTAACGTCGGCAGCAGTCATTCGCATTAGTTGCAATTGCACATATATTAAAAAAAAATTAATGTGGCAGAAGGCGCAAAACACAGTTATATATACATATATATATTTATTATTTATACACGTTACGCGTTTCAAATTCATGTAACTTATTAATTAATTCCTTGCAATGCTACTTTAAATCAAAATTTATTGTTAATATACTAGCAGAAGAGGAATAAATCTATTTTTAAGCTTGATTCTTTCATAAGGCAAACAAATGCAGAATTGTATGTCAACTATACTATACATATGTAGCATGTAAGTACAATCGATGTAAGCAACAGCCACTTCTTGCTGTTCGCGTAGCCAAGCACATTGTGTACGTTGCATTTCTTATATATGTATATATAAATATGTATGCATGTATTTACTTTCTAATGTAAGTGGCCAACTGGACGACCATTCATATTTATATCTATTCAATTTAATAATCACATAAAATGTGATGAGCCTGTAGACAAACACACAAACATATATTTTGTGGTACTTACACAATCGTATATAAATCAATCAATCATGTAAATCAACAGAATTTTGCTATAATCGATGCTGCGATGAGTCAGTCCTGTAAATAAGCGCAAAATCCTTTAAGCAATAAAACTACCAAGGTATAAACGATTATAAAAATCCTCTGAACACACTCATGTTTAATCCCAATTTGTATAAGATTTTTGTTCAATACTTTATGCTTAACTTTAAGTACGAGTTATGTTTTTATGGTACTAATTGTGGCGGTATTCGCTGCCGCTGGCGACATACAATTTCCATCCGGATAACGCTTTTGAAATTGCGTTATCAGCTCCGGATCGACAAGACGTATGCCGTCCAACTGATTGCCCAACGTTATCCAATTTGGTTGTATATTGTGCGGTCGACCAAAAAGCTCGATTTTGCGCGTTCCTGGACTAAGACGTTCAATAATGCCATAAATTTCATCGGGCTTATGTGAAGTTGCGCGCACTTCCGCCACAATGACATCACAGTCTAGGCCACGGTTTAAATTGGTGGGATTGCCCTTCATGCCAACCAAACAATGCTCCTTGCCATGGTTCAGCCAATGCCCTGTACGCCCGGTTCGTATGATGCGCTGCAGCTGATTTGTCTTTACCCAAATGAGTTCGTCGACACGTTCATACCCCCAGAGTTTAAGGCATTCTCGGCCCAATTCCATGGCGCGTCCTGTAACCCAAAGGAAAATGAGCCCATCGTCCTGCAACGCAGGCACGCCTAATGCGCGCATTTCATCATCAGACATGGTCCCGTAAGGCAGTTCCATGTGTATATCCCAAGGCGGATCGGCCATGACAACAGCAAATTTCCCCAGTACAGTCATATCGAGAAAACGCAGATCACACTGAATCCATTGAGGGGGATATAGGGTGCAACTTGAGTCCACACTTCGCTTTAGACTGAGCTTAGTTTTGACATCAGTCGGCTTATTGGTGTTTATATGCGGTAATGTATCCACCTCGTAGTGCACATATTTGCAGGTGGCCATGTGAAAACATGTATTTAGGAAACTGCAATCGCCCAGCGATTCGTCTGTGTGTGCTTGAATGATCTTTTTAAAATGGAGCTTGGTGCATTTGTCTGTGTCGCCGCTGATTTCACTGTCATCTGTCGAGGGCTGGGATTCACCCTCACAATTATTAAGTGCTTCGGTTATGATTTCACCATCTTCGGCACCGGAATCTGTGGTGCCCATTTCAGTGGAGGTGCTTTTCATCAGCTTGCTATTGTTTGACAAGGAACTGACACCATCCGCATCGTTACATAGCTGTTTCTCCTCCCGCCGTTCCAGCTTCTTCTTGGCCGCCATTTCGGCAGTCGCTTGTTGCGCTTTTAGACATTCCACTTTGGTGCCATGAGAACAGAATTCCATCACCTGAGCACCACCATGCGATTTGAATTTCTCTGCAACGGATCGCTCCTTGGCAGTTGGTTTTGTGAGCAACTCCAGGATCTCCTCTCCCACTTGTTTGCTTTGCTTCTCGCGTGTCGAGGGCATTGATAGCAGAGACTGCATAAATAATGATGCATATTTCAAAAAAAATAAAGGGGTATTTTATAATTAATTTACCATAATATCATCGGACGCATCTAGACTTGTAGACTCTTTACGTGCTGCGTTTGCATCGGCTTTAAGTGTTTTCCTTTGCTGTTTATCATAGTCCGCGTCCTCTTCGTCTACTTTAAATTTAAAACAGTTGTATAATAGTTTTGGTTTATTAACATTCGGGTATCCACACTTACGTTTGCGCTTGCTATCCTCTTTGTGGGCGCAATTGTCGGTGACAAATTCATTGTAGATCTCTAACAGTTCCTTTGTCTCCACTGATATGACCTCACAGCCTGCGTCTGTGCCTATGGTGACGTTTTTAATACTTATAGCTCCTTGATTTGCTAACTTTCCGAGTATATAGTTAACCATCTCCATTGATGGTGGCTTCTCAAGATTTCCGGCAACTTTGTCCACAACCTGTGTAGACACAATAGGCAGCACTAACGTGCTGGAACTTAAAGTCTGCAACACAGCCTTCTCCACTTCCACATCTGCCTCGACTACAATTGTTTACAATTGAAATTATTGTTGTTTTTCTTGTTATTGTAGATAGCGTCGCTTACCAAGCTCTTTTTTAATATTTGACTGAGAGTCTTCATTTTTATCTGCCAGTATGTCAAAACGTTCCTTTTTGCGCTTCTCCAACTTTTCGCGTAATGTATTGCGTTTCGTCTTAAGCGCTTTTATGTCCCACGCATCAGCCATTGTGTCGTTTAAACAATAAATAAAATGCTTCAACAATGCTGAAATTCTCTTCTTCGTGGAACACACACACGGACAGGGCGGCTCGTGCGTTCAGAAGCATCAGCTGTTCAGCGCTTATTTATATTTTGTCCGTATTTTTTTTCTGTCGGTAACACAACGCATAATTGAATTAAACTTATAATTAACAATGATAAGTGGGAAATAAACTAATAATTAATAAATTGCAGTACCGATCAGAAACTTCCAAAACAGGGTAGCTCCTGCATGGATAAACAACAGCTGATTCACATTCTTCTCATGTCCACACATTTCGCTTTGCATAACAGGCCGCTCAGTCTTTTAAGCTTAAATTCGCCTTTTGTTACTGTGAATATCAATTAAAATGTCAAAGGCAGCTGGTAAATTGAAGACCCTCAAGAAAACCGCAGACAAAATTACGCACACAACAAAACTGAGAACAAATATACCAGCCGGCATGGCTGCAGCAGGTCCGCCATTGGGTCCCATGCTTGGCCAGGTGAGATTTAGCTCTTTCATATACCAATTTGAGTAACAAAATTGACATATGTATGTATGTATCTTGTTACAGCGTGCTATTAATATTGCTGCATTTTGCAAGGACTTTAACACGAAAACGTCCGAGATGAAAGAGGGCGTGCCGCTGCCCTGTCGTATCACAATGAATAGCGACCGTAGCTATAACTTGGTTATACATCACCCTCCGGCCACGTTCCTTTTAAAACAGGCAGCGGGTATACAACGCGGGACAATGACACCAGGTCATGAGGTTGCCGGCATGATAACTCTTAAGCATTTGTATGAAATTGCCGCCATAAAGATACAAGATCCACCCAACGTAATGCTCACAATGAAGCAAATGTGTGAAATGCTAATTGGTATTGCTCGCACTTGTGGCATTAAAATTGTTCGGGACTTGGATCCCACGGAATATGCAAAGTTCCTTGAGGAACGCAAGGTCATTGTGGAGGATCAACGACGTGAGTTGCAGGAGAAACGTGAAGCGAAAATGTTGCGAACCGGCTAAACTTATCACGTTTAAATCGTTTTTACTCGTTAATATACATACATTTTAAAACTAAACAATCGTATTTTATTCTATTGCAATGCGCTTCCGATCTTTAGCAGCATTCTTCTTGCGTCTCTTTTCCAAATGTTTATTCAGTTTGCCGTCCCGTTTGAGTTGCTCAAATTGATGCACAAGCTCCTTTGCACGTCGTTCCTCTGCAAAAAAAAAGCAACTTGAATTGTGATCATGCGAAGGTCTAATTGAATCGCTTACTCTTTGTCAAATATTGCGGCTGTTTTCCCTCATTGTGCGCCATTTGTATCTCAGCCCGTTCCTTCTTTAAAGTATACTGCTTTTGGTGCCATTTCTTCTCCTCTACATTTTTATTGATAAGCCTCTGCATGGTGTGTTTAATTTCCTGCTTTTCATTGTTGTCCTCAACCTCGTCAAGTTTCTTCTTCAGATGGTTCACTTCTCGGTTGCGTATTTTCGTTACAAACCGATAGTTTTTCTTGAATGTTTCAATATTGTAATCGCCCGATTTTTCATCGAATCGTGGATCACGTTGCTGGCTCTGGTTTTTGCGCTCAATGCGTAATTCTGCTCCTAAAAACGGAACCTGTTTCTTTGCGCTCATCTCGCGTGGCCGATTCTTGTTCAGACGCTTAAGATCTGTTTTTGATTTCTTCGTTTTTGCGCTCTTGACACCTAACACTGCCTCCTTGTACACTTTCGCTCCAAGCTCTTCCTTTAGCTTCATAATCTCCTCGAATGACATAGTTTTCAGGTCTTGACGAATCTCTGCCTGCAATGGGAAATCATAGTGTAATATGGAATGAGTGTTAATCAGACAGAATCTACCTGTGTCTCTTCATCAGCGCTCTCCTCGTGCTCCGAGGCCATCTCAGACTCACTAGACGAACTCATCTCAACAGATAAATAGAGATTTAACTAAAAGTCTACTTTCACGTGTTGTTTTGATATGCTAGTTGTGGTTGTTAGTGTCAATTTGTTGCACCTGGCAATGCTGATGATTTGTTTACCATTTGGGACAGTGCTGCCACGTCTACAGATATTTTTCAACACTTGCCATGCTTAAAATTAGTAGAAGGAATATAGCGCCAAATTGAAAACATTTTTCACTTATCCGGAATATTAATGCTGCGTTGTTTGTGCAGTAATTAAATTAAATTTAAATGGAAATTGCATTTTGCGTTATAATTCTATTGTCTATTTATGTACATACTATGTATGGAAATCTGCATGCAATTGTTTTTTAGCTCAACAGTTGGTTGCATGAGAGTCACAACCACCCGTTGTATTTAATGATTTCGTGCGCTATAATATTTACCCAAGTTTCACTATATAAGCGTACACATCCTGGGGGGTGGTTTACGATGACTATAACTTTTCTTCTTTCCTAGCATTACATTACTACACATTTGATGGCCAAGGTTGGGCGCTTGAACTACACACAGGGCGATGGTGATTTGTTTGCTTTGCCGCTTTTACATTGCAATTTATAGGAAGGTGGGTTTGGTTACTCTCTGGATGGCTAAAAAGAAAGCGAAAACATTTAATGCCTGTGTGATTTTTAGGTACACATGTGGCATGCGTGTGTGGGTGTAGGGGACAGGGAAGCCGTCACATTGGAAATATTGGTGCTGTGTAGATTTTGTGTAGTTGGCCGTTATATTTTAAATGTATAAAATATTTCATAATTTAGAAATACTCAAAATTATTGTGTTGTATAGTGTTAAAGAAACTATTTCGAATAAGTAAAAAAACATAAGTGACATATATACAAGTATAAGCATGTTATGTATTTCATAATTTAAAAATATAAAGGTTTGCTTATTTTCTTTTGGGCGTTTATCAAATATTATTTATATATATTTACAATTGTAAACAACAAACAAAATAAAGGCCAATTTAAATACAATTTAAATTAAAAATAAGCATATTTTATAAACCATGTTTATAAATCCAGAAAAGTTTTCTTTATTATGATTTTTTATGAACATTATTTAATCGAACGAGTCGTATGCGGAACTCCTATTTTTATCGGTTTTGAGTCTCTGCTTATAGTATTCGATCTTATGTATATATCTGAAAATATCAAACTTAGAATAATAAATTACTATATTTGATAATCTATAACTTATACTATCTTTTATAATATTTAAAGAAAATGGATTTTCTGGAACTTATTAATCGCAGGCTAGTATTAAATTTTTCGTACAATTCACGAGCATTTCATTTCATGGCGCGTTTCGCCGCACACACGAGTCCATTCACCAATTACCTGCGTTTATGTATCGCGCCATTCGCGAGGTTGTCCTTAATTTCTTAAAAAGCGTTTAAACATCTAATGAGAAAGCATTTAGCCTGCGCTGTCAGTCAGACATTCAGTTGCGTTTGGTGCTTTGCTCTGTGCGGTTGGACTTAAGGATTGGCAGCTCCTTTGGGATTTCGGCTGCTCGCGGTGCTTGGCCGCAGCCTGTGCTGTGGAGCTGGCAGTGAAGATATGTGATCATGGCCAAAATCATATCCACTATTAAGGCCATACTGACGCGCATCATTTTCGGCGCGCACAGCTTACTGGCCATTTGGCAGGTGACGACTTTTAAGAAGGATATAATCTATTGGACACTATGTGGTCCATTGCTGATCCTGCTGCTCGAGGGCATCTTCACCATTATGATAAAGAAGACGCAGGAGTGGCGTTGGTAAGAAAATCGCTTGTCTAATAACTGACAACTTTCCTCTTTGTAATGTAAACAAGAAATTGGTTGTGGCTGACGTCATGTTCGAGTTTTGATTTTCAATTAAAAGTGAAATCATGTGTAACGTTCAACCACCAGACAATGTCCAGGCCACACACACACCCCCATCCACCCGTAGTCGAGGTGAAAACTTTAATGGAATTTCGCGTACGACGCTGGCCACGCACCTTGACGGTCCACCCGATGTCTTGGGCTTGTGTTTACCTTTTGACTGGACTTGTTGTTTATTTTGGCCATTTCGTTTTGTGCTAGTTGTCCTTTTTAACCACCACACATTTGAGTTTTATTTTCTTTTTACTTTCGAATAGGTTCTGCCCCTCAGTCTTTCTCTACTTGAGCAGCATTGTGCCCGCCATTTGGCTTCTCGAGCTGGACAAGGTGGAGCGACGCTTGATTTTGATCAATGCCTCTCAGGCGAATGCCACAAATGCCAGCTATGTCCTGGTCAATAGTACCAACAGCAGCACAATGGTGCCGGTGGCAGGACTATTGGATGATGCAGGCATTACTTTGCCCACTATCAGCACGGACACTTGGACAACGCTCATCGAACAGTTTCTCATGCTGATCCTCATTGTGGGTCGTTGGCTGCTGCCCAAAGGAGACTTGACGCGCGATCAGCTAAGTCAGCTGCTATTGGTATATATAGGCACGGCTGCCGATATAATAGAGTTCTTTGACTCGTACAAGGACGACTCGATAGCACGCATTGGTTTTTTAGTCTATCTGACGCTGGGCATTTGGTCCTGGAGTCTCATGCAGTTCACCATAGTGTTGTCTGCCACACGCGGACGCCGTCCTCGCGGCAGCGGTAGTCAGAAGGAAGAGTATGGTGGCTTCGAGCATCCTTTATTGGCTAAAGTAACACAACACCTCTTTGCAGGCACACAGACTGCTGTCAGAATTGTTGTTGTGGCATCGATGTTTGGGGCATTGTCCTCAATGTGATATTGCAGGATGCGCCGTTTCTGACATTCCGTTTGCTGATCATATTCCAGTATAAAATTATTAACTATATGAACGTCTTTTTCACATGTGAGTATCAGCATCAATTCTGAATAATAAGTAACTAGAATAAAATAAGTGAAAGAAATGGTTACATACTTATAGGTAATCCTGATGCCGCCCATTCCTACATATTATTTTTAGTCCCGATCTTAACGGTCCTAAGTGTGTTTCACAATTTAACTTTTAATGCTCCCCATTTACCATTTATTTACTTTTTCAAAATAGTTTTAAATCAATGGATTTAAGCTTAAGTTTGTGATAAAAATAAGAATTTTAAATGAATGTATCTTTAAACAAGATATAGTTAAACAGTTATCATCAAAATTTGATTCAATATCAATTTTTTAAAATCTATCTAATACGACCTTTAACTTATGTAACAATTAAATCGGACTTGAATTAAATGGCTTGGCAACAGCTTAACATTTACTTCTTAAAGTTGTCCAAAATTAAGCTTAAGGGGACATAAAACTTCATTAAATTTTTAATTATATGATTTGCCATTATAATCATTGCTTAACAATATATTTTTTTTGTTTTAGTGTACGATTATGAATATTTGTTTGAGACTAGCAATAATATATTACATTTACTTGTACATTTAGGCAAAAACTCTTTGGTCATCATACTACAACTCTATCGGCTATATGTGGTTAATGCCGAGTTTTGGAAAAGTCGTCGCGAAAGTCGCATGGCCAAGGCCCGTCAATATCAATCGCGACGTCGTGTGCAGGATGCGGATCAGAATAGCATTTATATGATATCAAATGAACGTGGTGGCGATGTGAAGAAGAAAATTAAAAAGTGAGTCGACGAAACAAAAAATCTTACTAACTAATAAGAATAACTAATAAGAATAATAATGAATAATTGCCTTAAATTCAATAGAGCAAAGGACTATGCCGAGCACGAGGCAGTGAGTAAGAAGAAAAAGGGCAAGAAGGACAAAAAGGACAAGTACGTGGCAATTCGCAATGTAGGTATTAACTTATTCTAATGTTTGGTGTTTCTTAAGAAAAAAACGTAAGCGCAAGGATACGGGATACTCAACGGCCAGTTCGCAGAATTTGCATTCCACCAGGGCCGCCATTGAGAAAGATGCGCGTCGTAAGGACAAAAAGGGCAAGAAAACGAAACGTAACGGAAACAGTTCGCTCAGTGATTGCGACCTGATGAATGCAAAAAAGCAAAAGCGTGGCAAGAACGCGGACAAAACAGATAAAAAGTAAGTGGCAGCCTCACTGGACATTATAAAAGTGAATAGAATTCAGCTTTGGAATCCTGCAGGAAAACACGTGAAATCGAGGCTGTCATTGAGGAGTCGAGCAGCACAAGCAGCAGCTCCTCGGACTCGAGCAATTCCACCCTGCCCAGCTACGAGGTCATCGATGAGAAAAAAGCGAAGGCAAAACGCCGCAAACATGGTCACATAAGCGATTCCAGCTCCAGCAGTGACAGCAGCTCCGATAGTTCCTCATCATCGTCGGACTCTTCGTGAGCGCTAACAATTTGTTAACGATTTTTGGGACTAACTCCATTTGTTGTGGCCATCACATTTTCAAAAATGTGCGCCCGCCTAATGCAAACGTTAGGTAACACTTTTTTTATGATAGCCAACGGGCTTGGCTGATGTACTGGCAACAAGTAATTGCAGTTCAAATTTTGTAATATGCATAAATTTTGTAATTTATTAACGGTAAAGGAAACAGTACGATTATTTGTAAGCAAATTCGTATGTAAATTTTAGCGTTTTAAATAAAATGACGCCATTTATAACACAAGTTGGCAGCTTTGCTGTGACTCTTATCTGCACTGTTTACCACACTCTCATTGCTCATTTGCTCTCGCTTAACAAAAAGCTTTGTTGACAATAAGAAGATACGTATACGTAATGCTGTGTGTGTGATGCTTGAGAATTATGTGTTTTCTGTGTAATAATAAAATAGTTTCTGCTCAGCGTTTGTGCGCTGCGGACGCGTTTCTAGTCGTTGTCTGTTGGAGTCGCGCGCTAGCGAGAAAAAGCTGCGGGAAGCGTTTGCTTGCTTTTGTTCGTTGTGAGTGTAAATAAGTTTTATTGTGTGTGCGTTTGTATGTTCTAATTTGCGAGTGTGTGTGCGCGCTTTTGTAGTTATTGGACTTGCTTGCTTTATTTAAATAAAAAAGTCTTTTTGTGAGATCAACACGGGCACATATACATGTACATACATGAAATAGTTTTTGAAACAAAACATTGTCCCACCCCTCCGCCATTTTTCCCTACCGCGCTTCCTTCCTTTCACTGCCTTTGTTTGCGCGCGTGTCTCTAAAAACCACCAAAGCTTGTGTGTCGCACTCTTCAGCCTTTGCCCCTTATCTACAAATTGAGAATACAAATACAGCAACTACCAAGTAATTATTTTGAATGTTAACGCATCAGAACCCAAGAACAAGGCACTGTTTTTGGCCAGCAAATGGTTTGCACAAATGTCAGCAAACTGTTGGGAACTGGTTAAATAATTTACGCATCGGTATCAGCAGGTGCGAATCTATATAGGCGATATAGCTCGCATCTACTGCACTATATCGCCCCAATAGCTGCTCTTTAATAATTCAATTAACGCTCGTATGTGTTCTGACAAATTCGCCTCTAATGGATCCATTAACAGCCAACCATTTGCGAATACCGTCGCCGTTGTCCAACTTGTTGGCATGCCGCACGGCATGCTTGGGTGGTTAAACATACACACACACTATATATACCCATATTAATATTTTTATATGGTGCACTGGAAGCACAGACAATTGAAAAGTACATATACTCGTATACATACACATATACATATGTACATACGTATGTGAACTGTAAAATATGAAGAGCAATTGAAAGCCTATACGTCGAAGTTAATGGGAAATTGCAAAAAAAAAAAAAAAAAATTCAAAAATTAATGAACGTTTCAATATCAATACTGTGCTTTAATTGTGCTTTAATTTAATATGTATGTAAGTGCATATGTATCGATCAGCGAGCTATACTTGTAGGTTACAAACAATTATTCAGAATTGATGTTTTATAACTAACACAGGATTGATATTCCAAAAGCAGCGATTACGCGGTTTGATTTGATCAACTTTTGTACTTTCCTAAATTTACCCCAAGTTGTTAGACCATATTTATTCCATTTAAAATTATGATTCAATATAATAAATTTTTTAATAATATACCTTGGGTATTCTGTAGTCGAGCGATGTATTATGCTTATTTTTATACATTTTTTTTATTTCTTTCATTTATTGTTTTTTTTTTTAGCAGCGTGCCATGTGCAAAATAGTTTATATAACAGACATAAATAAATCAACAGGTAATTAAAATTGTTGGATCATTTTTATGAAATAAAACAAGTTTTACAGAAAATTTCCATAGTTTGAAAAAGTTGTGGGTGTGCAAGTTTCTTATGTTTTAGAGCCCTTGCCCGCCCATAACCAATTGAAAAATGATGGAGGGAGCTGTACTTTTTAATCAGACAGCAAGGTCTTGCACTTATTTACGTTGTTCATTCTAAAAGGGTCTCCATCACACTGTATTGGTCCAGCCTAGCGCAGACCAAAGAGTGTGTAAAAAACACGTTTTCACTATTCAAGAAAAATACGCGAGCATATTAATGTTATTATTATTTTTTTCTTTTGCCTTTTATGGCAGTTCCTCACTCGCAATGCGCGTGCCGAAGGTTAAGGCAGCAATCCACCACCGTCCACAAAAAGCACAACAAAAGCACAGTATTAATACCAACAACAAAGCAAACTCCACGTGCCCGCGTTGGGGGAGCAAGTTTTTATAAGAGCTTGTGTGTGTGTGTGTGTGTGTCCACATTGTCATCTCTTGTGCTGCTCTCTTTTAATGTTTTAGAGCGACCATGCGGGGGTCTTCACTTGTTTTGCACTCACCATTAAGCCGGCTAGATGAACGCTTGTCTATGTGTGTATGTGCGTGTGGTAAACAACTTTTGGATATTCTCCTATGTTTATATGGTGGGCCGAAATCTTTACTAGGCCTTGGAAGAGGTAGAACTATATCACTAAGTAGATACAATTTTGCGTAGAGTTGAAATGTTAAGACATTTCTTATGCACATACATACATAATCAGTGTTTTGCGCTGGGGCTTAATTAAATTCTGTAAGTGCGTATATGGTAATGACTTAAGTCGCACCCAGACACAATGCTGTGTAAAGTCTGGCACGACAAGTGGGAAATGGGACTCATTAGCAAAGTAAATACACAAGTTAATAAGGCAGCTAAAACAAGAACTATTATGCATTCAAATGAGCGACATTGGCCATTCGCATTTGTGGTGAACACACTCTCTTAGGAGTCTGCCTTGATAAAGCCTTCGCAGATTAGTTCCTCAAACTACGACTAGAAGTTGACACTAGAGGTGGGTGAGTGTTGTAGTAGTTTTATGTCGACCAATCAGCTTCTGTCAGCACATTTTGCATAACTGGTTGCTTTTTAAACATCAGATGGTTTGCGGCTATTTATTTTCTAGATATGTGTGAACATAAAATGTATGCGTTTGTTCTTATGCTAATCTGAAACAAAACTGCATTGGCAGTGGACAAATATTAATCAAATATTTCTTTAAAGTATGTAGTTTTATTTCTTTTGAATATTTGATTGTTTTAATCCTTTCAATTGTACAGAAAGTAATGCAAGTAATGAAAGTAAAGTTATTTAAATTGGTCAACGAATAATTTTAAAATATGTATACTTTACTTTATTGAATAAATTTAATATTTTTTTTCAAGGGCATTAGTTCACGTTTCAATAATTTTAGGCATACAACAAAAAACAAAAAAGTTTAATAATCTTCTGCTTAAGCTGTGCCAATAATTATGCGACATTTCTCAACTATCGCAATTTTTATTCAAAAAGCAAAAAATACAGCCTTTGGTAAAATTGGCATTGCTTTTTGTAACTAACAGTTCAATTCTTCAAATGGAATCTTTTAAACTTTTGCAAATGCAAATACCAACCCATAATTCAGGTAGTGCTCGTAAACAATGATATTTACGACACAGAACGGCGCAGGATATCAGGCTGTAAACAAAATTGGGGCTGGGTTGTCAGATATAGGGCATTAATCTTGTTATGGATAAGATGGAAAAAGTAATCAACAATTACGGCTTATTTAATCATTGAGTGGTTGGGCTCGAATAGTTGCGGAGCCTAAAACATGAAGTTAGGAGAAGTTTTCGACAATCTTTTTCATTCCAATTAACTTTTCAATTATGTGCGAAAACCACTATTGCGTCCTTACATTCCTTCACTAACATTCAGATTTAAATTGCTTTCTGCCTTTACCCACACATACTTGAGGACTGATTTGCTGTGTGCTTATTTATTTGTACAAATATTCTCGTCCCTTCTTTGGTCTGACCTTGTGCAGTTATCTTAATGGCGTATTATTGTCTCTTTTTAAATATTTGCCTTAGGATTTCGGAGTTCGTTAGGCTCAGTAAACAGAATATTTCCGCAGCTGGCCATTGCAGCCATCGGGCATTGGTTTGTTAATCTTATCAAAAAAAAGCACTTGAACCTGAAAAATTAATTTGTTTCCAATTGAAATGACAAGCATATCAATATTATGAACAGCATAGGCATTCTATCATAAACATACTTATGTATTTATTAGTTTCAATGGCTGATGGAAATTTTTATGCACATCGTTGTACGAGTATGTAACTAGCGCCAAACTAATGAAAATCAATCTATGACGATGCACATCTTGTTGCCTGTTATAACAGCAAATTCAAATAAATTTCTATAGTTGGGTCTAGATTTCTCGATTCATGTTGTTCCAGTTTGTTGCACACACACACACACACACACATACTATATGTATGTTAATATATATATACACATACATATAGTAAAATATGTGCACACTTGACAAATGCTGGCATTGATGTGTCTCCCTCTCCTCCACCTCATCCTTCTGGCCTTTAATTGAAATGTTGCGGCTGACAGTTGCTGTGGCGTGCGGGTAACTCGTGTACAGTGTCCCAAGTACCATTTGAAGTGAACGAAAATCAAGCGCCTTTTATTGATTTCTATTAAAAAGGTCAGCTTGCAGGTTAACGTTGTTTTATTCAGGAATTAATGTGCATTCATTCATGACAGCAAGCCATTTCAGGTCCTACTTGACTTTAAAATGTCCGCACTGCATTTAAAAGATGCATGATATAATCATTTAACGAACCTGATTTTTTTAATGTTTTTAATGTTTTCTATCAAATTAAAGTAAGAAATGATTACATTACAAATACGTTCTGAATAAGTCATATCTCGTAAAAGAAATATATACTACATACAGGCTTAAAAAAGAAAATAGGTACGCTTGGAAATTAGAAGAATACGTATATATCTTAAAAGTTGCTTCTAATCTTAATATAAAACGACAACTATGGGAGAGTCCCTTTTATAGTTCGTATCAAATATACAAGTATCTATAATTTTCACTGATCAGTTCAGACAACACTAAACACTTTTTAGTCACAGTGCAGCTGTCCGACAAGTGGGTCGTCCAGGCGTGCAGTTTTGCTATTATTTTTGGCGCTTACAGGCACATATTATACACACATATAGTATGTATGTATATAGTATACTGACTACATACGTAGGTCAGTCACGTGGCTGCAACATGCGAGCACTGAATTAACATGCAATGAATCGTTGCATACTACCAGCTCGTACATCATGTGGCACAGGTTGCTGTCGCCCACTGGTTGATGGTTTATCATGCAATCATTTATTGTTAACAAAAGAGGGAAAGTGTCGGTGTGGGTGCGCGCAGCTTGTTTGTCAACAATTATGTGTGAACAATATTTTATAGAAAACTTTTAACAATAATAAACAATAGGGGCGGCATCGCATTACAAAACTTGTTGGTGCCAAGCACCCCTAACTGCGCAGCATATTGTTGTGCAGTTGCCGATAAAAAGGCGACAAAGAGAGCAGCATTTAGGTTACTCACACACACATACACCCACCCACACACATATAGATATGCATGTTTATCT